CCCTCCCAACTCCTGGAACCTTTCCATGGTGCCCCCTGGATCTCCACTCTTTATTTTGCACATATGTATGGGTGCTTCCCATGCTCCAGGCATTGTCCTACAAGACTGACACATCCTAACTCACTCCTCTGAACAGCCCTGTGAAGCGGGTACTAATGGCTGTTGCCATTTCCACTTTACAGAGGAGTAAAGTGAGGCATGGAGACCATAAGTACCTTGCTAAAGGTCACCCAATGAGTGATGAGTGAGTGTCAGAGCTGAGATTCCGTGTCATGGAGCCCACAATGCCCAGAAGCATCCCCAGCCCCTTGGTCTCCCCACCTTCCTACTGGGAGACTCCCCAGCCCAGCTTCCCTTTCCACCCTCATAGAAGGTGGTTTCTGCTTCTCCCCCAACACCACTGGCCTGGGGATGGAGACACGTCTTTCTTGTTCCTCTAAGCAATGTTGAGACTCTTCCTCCCTGCTTTCTCGGACCGCAAGTGTCAGCCTAGATATCTTGCCGCCTGTCTTTGTTAGTCATCAAGGAGTCCCCCAGGCCACTCTCCCCTTCCCACCTCACTGTCTCTCCAGTGCTTTTCCTATCTCCATTCTTGCTGATGTCAAGGTTTACATCTCCACAAAGATGATCCTTCTAACACTCAGCTGCTCACTCCCACAGTCATGCCCTAGACCCGATCACCACCATCAGCTGCAATCTCTGTCATCTCAGCACCAGGCATCCCACTTTCCTAGTGTCACTCCCTCTGTGCTACACCTACTAGTCATCCACAATTCTTCTACCTCCCCTTGGAATTCCAGTACCTTTCCCTGTTCCTCACCATCTTGCATCTCATTTCTCTCCTGACTCAAATTCCATGGCCAATCGTTAAAATTATTCACCTGCTACACCCTCAACCCTCTTGTTTTATGCCCGTGCTTGCTTGGGGAAGCCTCTACCCCTACTTAGTCTTCCACACCTGTGACCATCCAGGTGAATACAGCACAGCAAGGCTGGCTGCCCTCATCAATTCAAGATCCTGAGTCTCTGCGGGCCCCACTGCTATCTGGCTGTCCCATTCCATTTCCCTAATCCATCCTCTCTCATTCCCCTAGACTTCTATTTCTACCTTTCTTCCTGTCCTCAAACATCCAACATCTGCCCACCACCAGCACTTCGCACTCCACTGAGACCTCATTTCTTTTTTTACTGGGAAACTAGAAGCAAGGCTGGGTGTGAGGGCTCATGCCTGTAATCCCAGCACTTTGGGAGGTGGAGGTAGGTGAGTCACCGGAGGTCAGGAGTTCAAGACTAGCCTGGCCAACATGGCGAAACCCATCTCTACTAAAAATACAAAAATTAGCCAAGTGTGGTGATGGGTGCCTGTAGTCCCAGCTATCCGGGAGGCTAAGGTAGCAGAATTACTTGAACCCCAGAGGCAGAGGTTGCAGTGAGCGGAGATTGTGCCACTGCACTCCAGCCTGAGTGACAGAGTGAGACTCTGTCTCAAAAAAAAAAAAAAAAGAAAGAAAAAGAAACTAGAAGCAGTAAGGATAGAACACTTGCTGGCTCCCACCGCCACACCTGGGACCGGCCAGCACCTGTGCATGTGTGCTGTCTTTCCGTCCTGCTCCCGAGCCAACAGCCTGGCTCCCAGCAAACATCTTCACCTAAGCACTGGTTACTAACCCTCCTACAGTCTCACATTGCTCCAGCAATTCCCCCTCCTCCACTTCTTCCACTGAATCATTCCCACCACTATACAATGTGTTATTTCTCCCATCTTAACCACTTTCACCTCCAATTACTCTTTCAGAGAGTTATTTTTGCCACTCGTTCCAAGTCCTCTCCTGTCGTTCTGTCTGGGGACTATTCCAGTGTGGCCACCTGCAAATAGCATAAACCATCGCTAATTTGGCCGGGCATGGTGGCTCGTGCCTATGCTCTCAGCACTTTTGGAGGTGGAGGAAGAGGAGTTCAAGACCAGTCTTGGGCAACATAGTGAGACCCTGTCTCAATTTAAACAAAGAAAGAAAGAAAGAAAAACAAACCATGGCTCATTCTCAGTTGTCATCTTACTGGACGGAAGGAAGGAAGTAAAGGAAGGAAGGAGGGAGGAAGGAAGGAAGGAGGAAGGAAGGAAGAAGGGAGGGAGGGAGGAGGGAGGGAGGGAGGGAGGAAGGAAGGAAGGAAGGAAGGAAGGAAGGAAGGAAGGAAGGAAGGAAGGAAGAAGGGAGGGAGGGAGGAAGGAGGGAGGGAGGAAGGAGGGAGGGAGGAAGGACGGAGGGAGGAAGGAAGGAAAAAGGAGGGAGGGAGAGAGGAAAGAAGGCAGGCAGGCAGGCAGGCTCATTCTCAGTTGCCATCTTACTTGACCACATCAACACCGGTTCCTCCCTCCTTATGGAAACATTGTCTTCATTCAGTCCAGGCCACCGCCCTCTCCTGCTTTTCCTCCTTCCTCACTGACTGCTACTTCTCAGCCTCCTCCTCTGTCCCCTCCTCCCCTGTCGTGCAGTTATTGTCGGGCCCCCGAGGCTCCCAACCTGGATCTCCCCTCTCTCACCACATTCTCTTCTGTGATTCAGGGCTTTGCCAAGAGCTGTCGCCATGCTGGTGGCTTCTGCCTCACACTTATGTCTCCAGTCTCTCTTCTAAACTGTAGACTCACCTGTCCAACTCCCTGCTCCCCATCTCCACTTAGCATGTCCCAAACTCAACTCCTGGTTGTACCCCTGCACGCCCTCCCCCTCCCCACCACCACTGTCCATGTCCAACCTGCACTTTCCACCTCTCCCATTCCATAACAGCAACTCTGTCTTCCAGTGACTCAGGCCAAAAACCTGAGAATCATCCCTGACTCCTCTCCCTCTGTCACATCCCCCATCTAATCTGCCGGCAAATCTTGTGGGCTCCACGTTCAGAATATTTCCAAAATCTGAACACGTCACCCACCTCCACTGCCCCCATCCCAGTCCAGGCTACCGTTCTCTCCTGCCTGGACCCTCACTGAGCTCTCTGCATCTACTTCTCTGCTTGTTCACCCCTCCTGCTCCTCTATTTAGTTTCCATATGGGGATCAAAGAGATCTCATTAAAACAAGTAATTGTAGGCCAGGTGTAGTGGCTCATGCCTGTAATCCCAGCACTTTGGGAGGCCAAGGCAGGGGAATCACTTGAGGTCAGGAATTTGAGACCAGCCTGGGAACATAGTGAGACCCTTGTGTCTATCACAAAATTCTACAAATTAGCCTGGTGTGGTGGCATGCACCTGTAATCCCAGTGACTCTTGAAGATTGCTTGAGCCCAGGAATTGGAGGCTACAGTGAGCTACGATCATGCCACCGCACTCCAGCCTGGGTGACAGAGCAAGGCTCTGTCTCTCTCTTAAAAAAAATAAAAAGTCATTTTAATTCACTCCTTGGCTCACTCCCCATGCCCTTCGCCCTGCCTTGTGCAGCCTCACGGGTCTTCTTACCTCCCCAACTCTCTGGGCAAGCTCAAAGCCCAGGGCCTCTCCTCCACTTGAAGAGCTCTTTTCCCCAGAGTTTCATGCCTTACTCCCTCTCCTCAAGTCCTTGCTCAAATGTCACTCTCTCAGCGAGGCCTTCCCTGATCACTGCTTTACAATTCTAACCTCACCCCCATCCCTCCTCTTTGTCTCCCCCTAGAATCCCACAAGGGAGGAATTTTTATTTATCTTGTTCACCGGTGCATTTGTCTAGCACAGAGCAGTTGCTCACCAAATATTTGAATACATCAATGAATGGATAAATGAGTCTACTTTTCTTGAATGGAAATGAAGAGTTTCCAGGTAGGGGTGAGGTCTGAAGCCAAAATGAATGATCTTTTGAGAGAAGAACAACCTTGCAGATAAGTTCAAGCAGCTACCAGACACCTCCCATTTTCACCCACCCTTCCCACTCTTATCCGTGCCTGAGGAGTGTGATGCCAGAGATGGAAGGCTCTGCATTGGTGTCTTACCAAAATGTTCAGGTTCATGGAGTTGGCTCCGGTCCCTGGGCAGGTGCTGGTCTCCCTAGCTCAAATGCCTGGAAGACAGAGACCTTTCTAAGCCAGGCACAGAAATAACAAACTTCACCTATTCCCAGTTATTTGTGGGAGCTGAAAACTAAAACAATTGAACTCATGGAGACAGAGAGCAGAAGGTGGTTGCCAGAGGCTGAGAAGGGTATGAGGGTGGTGAGGAGTGGGGATGGGTAATATGCACAGAAAAACACTGAATAAGATCTCGTATTTACTAGCACAACAGGGTGACTGTAGTCAAAGACAATTTAATTGTACATTTTAAAACAACCAAAAGAGTATAATTAGATTGTTTGTAACACAAAGGATAAATGCTTGAGAGGATGGATACCTCATTTATCCTGATGTGGTTATTGTGCATTGCCTGCCTGTATCAAAACATCTCAGGTAGTCCATAAATATACACACCTACTATGTACCCACAGAAGTTAAAAAAAAGAAAAGACAGGGACTTTTCTTGAGTCACTGCAAGTGCCAGGCTCTGCATTCTCCAGGAGCTATGCCCTTTACCATGGCTGGAGGGTGACTGGATCACAGAACTGTTGAATGCGGAGTTAGCTGTCAGTGAGCCCCATCTGCATGGGTGTTCTGTGGACACAGGGGTTTTGACTTCCAACCTGAGCATTTCCTCGCTGGATCTGACCCACCTTTGTGGGATTTGTCCATAGAGGTATATACAAGAAAAACTTCCCAAGGTAGAACTGGAAAGGCCCATTTGGATGTGCATTTTACAACTCTTGCTCCAGGGATCCAGTGGTGCAAAGTAAGAACTCTCCCAGGAAACCGGAGCCAGTCTGTCACACTGGCCCTGGGTTTAGGGCAGCTTTCTCTTGCAGGACAGGGCTGTGTGCCATCTTGTGGGCTGACCCTCCTGTCTTGGGTCTGAAGTGGCCATCCCACCACTCCCCAGCAGGCTTCTGTGTTTTGCGAAGTACAAGGGAGTCTTTGTGTCTAAGCTGGACACCCTCTGTTCCCCAGGGAGCCTCCCAGGATGTCTGCCTTGCCGCTCAACCTGAGTGGAGAGGGAAGGTTAAAGAACATGACGGTGGACGAATGTTTCCAGTCTCGGAGCACCGTCCTCCAAGGGCAGCCCTTCGGGGGCGTCCCCACCGTGCTGTGCCTGAACCTCGCCTTGTGGCTGGTAAGTCCTGGGCACTGCAGGAGACACAAAGTAAAGCCTCAGACAGGGTCAGACTTTCCCAGGTGACACAGTGGGGGACCCAGTTGTCCAAATGGACAACAGCCACAGTGATGGGAACTGCCTGAATGTTAGCCCTGCCCAGGGTGGCCCTGGTAGGTGGGCTTCAGAGAGAAGAGCCTGGAGGAACAGGCAGAATTCTTGTGATGCTCTTCCATGCATCATTGTCCAAAGGTCCACCTGGCCTCCTTTCTCTTCCTCATTGCTGAGATCTTCAAGGCACATTCTGGTCCCATAGATCTGCACATGCCGCCAGCTCCTTCATTCAACGAACTCTGAGCATCCACTCTGTGCCCAGAAGCTGCTGGGCGCTGCTGGAAACCTAGAGTTGAAAGGAATGGCCCCTACTCCAACAGAGCTCACCTTCTAGTGGAGGAGCTCCCTGGGGACCTCAGGGACAGGGTCACCCCCAAGGAAATGCATGGGGCCAGCCAAGGGGAAGGAATCCCTGAACTCTCCCACCCCACATTGCTATTCCTGCCTGTAGCTCGTCCTCCTGGTTTACTCCTTTCTCCGGAAAGCTGCATGGGACTACGGGCGCCTGGCTCTGCTGATACACAATGACAGGTGAGGTGGGATCTGGGTGGGTGAGCTGTTGCCCCCTTGGGGACAATCTGCTGCCAAGGCCAGGACGCAGCTCCACCCCATGCCAGAGCTGCAGCAGGTGTCTTGCCCGCAGGTGGCATCTCATCGCTGGCCTGTGTCCCTGCTCTGCCCTCCCTGCAGGAAGGGAACTTGGAGGGCAGCCATCCCTGGGCGCAAGGCCATGTTCTTCTCTGGTCTTAGACTTTCTGGATCATGTGGCTAGACTCCCAGGATGCCTGGTGCACCTGGCACAGGGGCAACTGCTGTCTATGCCCAGAGCTATGTGCTCTGCAAAGGAGCTGAGGCACACCTGCCCCGGGCAGAGCAGAGGGCAGCCCTCAGCCAGGGAGTGGAGAGGAAGCAGGGCAGGCAGCTGAGACCTTTCTCTCCCTTCCTACCTCCCTGCCCCTTCCCTGGCTGGCAGCCTGACCTCGCTGATTTACGGGGAGCAGAGCGAGAAGACATCTCCCTCGGAGACTTCTTTGGAGATGGAACGCAGAGACAAAGTGAGTGCTGGGAACAGTGTGGGCAGTGGGACTCCCAGCGCTGGGCAGGTGGGTGTGGTGTGCACAGGGAGAAACACAGCTTTGCAATCAGCCAGACTCAACGATTCCAGCAGTGTGACCTTGAGCAAATTCCTCAGCCTCCCCAAGACTCAGTTTCCCCACCTGAAAGATGGAGATGTTGACCATACCTACTACTAGGGTGCCAAGTGAGTGTTCACTAAGATAACTTGAGAGATTTTTAACATTAATTTATCTTCCCTTCTCAAATCTCCAAACCTTCTCACAGTGCCGTCTTGCCCACGTCCCCGCCCCTCACTTGGAGTCAAGGCCTCACCTCCTATTTCACGTAGAAGATTCTAGTCATCCATCAGGGATTCCCTTAGCCTCAGGCTTCCCAGCCCTGTTTAGTGGAGCCCAGTCATCTGCTTCCTCCTGTTTCCTGGCGAAGGCCAGCCCTCTACCCGACTTCAGCCACTTGTTGGGAAGCACCTGCTGTGTGCCAGCCACTGGTCTGGGAGCTGGGGACCAAGTCCCGCCTTGTGGCGCTGTCTTCCTGGGCAGGAGAGGTGACCAGACAGAGGCATATAGACTGGCAACAAGGCCTGGTGGAGAACGCTGGCGGGGAGGGGTGGGGGGCTGTGGTGCGGCACAGGGGGAATCAGGGATGGTGGTGGGCAGTGGTGACATTTCAGCAGGGCCATGAATGCCGTGAGAGGGGGAGCCCTGAGAACGGCCTCCCCTCCCTCTCCCCCCACAGCTGAACTCCTGACAGTGGCCCATGCCACTGTCACTTCGTCGCCTCCCACTCACGCCCCTCCTCCCACTCATGCCCCACCTCCCACACATGCCCTGCCTTCCACTCATCCCTCCCACTCAGGCCCAGCCTCCACTCCCATGGCTTGCCTCCCCTCCCACGCCTCGCTTCCTACTGGCACCTTGCCTCCCACTCACGCCTCAACCTCTTCGAATGTGGGCTCACGTCCATCACTCCACCCAGACGATCCAGAAGGTCCGCAGTAGTTCCCCTGCCACTAAATCCAGTGGACTTTTCTCAGTTCACATCTTGGCTGCGTTCTCAGAAACATCCGACCCTGTAGACCGTCTTTCTCTCTTGCACAGGCGCTCCCTGTTGCACTGGTGGCGTCACATTCTCTGGGTGTTCCTTCTACTCTGTCTGCCCCTCCTCTGTCTCTTTCTCAGGCTTCTTCTCCATACCAGGAGTCCCCCAACCAGCTGATCCCATACCCTTCCCCTGGCCCTGACTCCTGGGCAATGACGCCCACACTCACAATTTCCTTTGCCATGGATACTACTAAAGTCCTTTGCCGGGGATACTGCTAAATTCCTGCCTCCAGCTAATCCTCTCGCTGGGCTCCAGCCTCATTTACCCAGTGGCCCTCAAAATATCTCCACATGGATATTGTAAAGGCATTTGGGATTCCATTTGTCCAAAACATTTCGTGATATCCCACCACACCCACCTGTTTCTGCGACCTTGGTCTCAGAGCTCTCACCATCCTCCCCAGGGCTTCCTCTCACTGTTACCCAGGCTCCTGAGCACGGCCAATGTGTCTCCATGTTGTGTGGCTTTTACCTTCCCAGCTTTCTTCTCTCCATCCCTCCTCCCATCCCCTGGTCCAGGCCTCCATCCGCCTCTTGCCTGGACAACTGCAGTAGCTCTGACTGATCCCTTTAGGTCCACACTCTCAGACCCTTATCCACCTGCATCCAGAGAGATTCCCATGCCTCAGACATACATTCTGCTGCAGAGACCTTCACTGTCTTCCTGGGGCCTGTGGAATCAAGTGCAGATGCGTGCCGTGGCCTGGTAGTTCAGTCTGTGGCCTCCCGTCCATCATCTCTTACTCCTCCCCACCCCCTACCCCCGCCACATGGGTCCACCTTTTAGCTTCTCAACAGGGCCACCTGCTTCCCTCCACCAGCCCCTTCCCAGGCTCATCCCTCTCCCCATTCTCCAGTGGCCCTTCTCTGAATCACCTTTTGTTAAGATTTCAGCTTAAGCACCACTTCCCCAGGAAGCCCTGACCACCCCTCCTGGGTCCAGATATCTTGTTATATACCCACAGAAAATGCATGTCTGTCTGTTTGTCTCTTTCTTTCTTTCTTTCTTTCTTTCTTTCTTTCTTTCTTTCTTTCTTTCTTTCTTTTTTTCTTTCCTTCCTTTCTTTTCTTTCCTTCCTTCCTTCTTTCCTGCCTTTCTTTCTTCTTTCCTTTCTTTTCTTTTCTTTCACAGAGTTTCACTCTTGTTGCCCGGGCTGGAGTGCAGTGGCACAATCTCAGCTCACTGCAACCTCTGTCTCCTGGGTTCAAGCGATTCTCCTGCCTCAGCCTCCTGAATAGCTGGGATTACAGGTGTGCACCACCACATCTGGCTACTTTTTTTTTTTTTTTTTTTTTTTTGAGATGGAGTCTCACTCTGTCACCCAGGCTGGAGTGCAGTGGCACAATCTCGGCTCACTGCAACCTCTGCCTCCTGGGTTCAGGCAATTCTTCTGCCTCAGCCTCCTGAGTAGCTGGGACTATAGGCATGTGCCACCACACCCAGCTAATTTTTGTATTTTTAGTAGAGACAGGGTTTCACCATCTTGGCCAGGCTGATCTTGAACTCCTGACCTCATGATCTGCCCATCTCAGCCTCCCAAAGTGCTGGGATCACAGGCATGAGCTCTTGAACATTCTTAACCCTGTCTGTAATCATCCCTCATCTCGTCATTGCTCCCCACTGCACCCCGCATCTAATCCAGCCTGCCATGTGGTTAGCACCTGGTAGGTACTTGTTGGCTGTGCGAAATAAGCAGAGCCACATTCCTCCCATTGTCATCCCTCGAGAGACTGGGTCCTTCACTTGCTAGGATCTGCCCTCTCCAAAGTGTGGGGCCTCAGACAAGTGACTTCATCTCTTGGAGGCTTCCTGGGTAGAATGAGGGCAGCAACACCTACCTTGCAAGGTGGCTCACAGGTTTATTTTTAGAAACATCACTTTGATTTTTTTCTTGTTACAATGACAAAAGGATGGTTTTATTTTAAAAAACCTAAGAAGATAAGTCATTATGGTAGCAGTGAGGAGGACAAACTGAAGAGGGCATAAATTAAATTAGACAGAGAACAGGGAGTTCAGTGAATTGACAGCTGTCACTCTGTCACATCAGCTGAGCTGGCTCCTGGAGACTGTGGCCATGTGTCTGCTTCTCACGTGGCTGTTTAGCTGCTGAGCTTTCTGAATGGTTTATGTCTTCGGAGTGACAGCATATACTCAGGAGAGTGTGTGTGTGTGTGTGTGTGCACGTGCACGCATGCATGAGAGAGAGAGAGAGAGGAAAGAGAAAGAGAGGAGAGGACAGGAGAGATCAGATCCACACGGGATATTCATGGCCACTATTCTATTCATGACCTTTCATTGATGACCCATCCTCTGTCTATTTCAGTATACACCTGTGCCCCTGTAGTGGAAGGGGCAGAAACATTCCCAGGAAGGTGGGTCCCCCATGGTGCCAGATCATGAGGGGCCATCAAGAAAGCTATCTGTTCCCTTAGTCAGTCGCAACTTGTTTGCCCAGCTGGGCAGTGGAGACAGACTCTCCATGCAGGGAGGGGTGGCAGGACCTCTCTTGGCCCAGCTCTGCCTGGCAAGTGACCCCTCCCTGGGGATGCTCCCCCCTGCTGCTGCTGCCACCACACTTTTCCCTTCCTTGCTCTGATTTATAGCTGAATATTTATCCTTAATTTAGCTCCCCAGGACATAGCTGGAGAAATGTTGTGCCATGAACACCTGCCAATTGGCCACTGCTACCGTCAGCCAACCTGACACAGGGAGGGGGATTTATAAAGTGGGACTTATGCTGAGGGGAGCAAGGGACTTCTGTTTCATTTGTGCCTTCTCAAAAGGAGGCAGCAAGGTCAGGCACAAAAGAAACAGATGTCTTTGCTCCCCTCAGCATAAAGCCCACCTCTGAGTCCCTTCCCTGTATTGAGTTGGCTGACAGTTGCTCCATTTGGGAAATACCCCTTCCCCAATCCATGTGTTTCGGGAGAACTATCCATCAAGAGGTCTGCCTGGTTCACAGAAGTGCACATGACCCGAACAGAGCAGTCTAGAGCTGTCACCTTGTGGAAGGTTTTTCTAAGCCCTCTGGGATCCCAGAAGGAAGCAGGCACCAGGGTAACTTCACCAGCTACCAGAGCTGGCAACTGTTAGAGCTGCAGGCCTCAGCCCCATCTCACACACCATTCCAAAGACCACTCTCTCTAGTCCCTGTCCAATCTCCCCATGACCAAGGCCACCTTTCCCCACCACCCAAAAACTTCAGACAGCAAGACCCCAAGAGAAAGGTATCAACAGGACAGGACTCTCAGGCACAGGAGAAGGAACCAAGCTCAAACTAGTTTTACATGGAAAGGGTAATTTGCAGCTCAAGTGTGGGAAAATTCATGAAGAGTGCCTACTTCAGGCATAGCTAAATCCAGGAAGTCTAGCAATGCCCCCAGGTCCCCCTCTCTTGTCCTTTCCCTATGAGCTGGTTTCTTTCTCAGACAGGCTCTCTGCACGTGGCATCAAAGATGCCACCAAACCACTCCAGGTGTTTACTGAGGTGTTTACTAAGGTGCAGGAATTCAGAGGGAAAGAGACTTTCTCCCTTGCAACATCCATATCAATCCCCTTAAGGGACTTTTTTTTTTTTAAATAAGTGGGATCTTGTTGTGTTGCCCAGGCTAGACTCAAACTCCTGGGCTTAAGTGATCCACTTACCTCAGCCTCTTGAGCTGCTGAGATTACAAGTGTAAGCCACCATGCCTGGCTTCCTTAAGGAAATTTTAATTGGACCCACTTGGGTAAAGTTCCCATTGGCCAACCGATCACTGGAGGCAAACTTCCACTGGACGGAGTAAGAGTAGGAGCCCACTGGACCACGCGCATCCAGGGAAGGGCATTTTCAGAAGGAAGCAACAGACATTCACCCTCCAGCTCAAAGACCACCTTCTAAGTCCCATTTCCTGTAACAGGAGGGCAGAGATGTCCACTCATTTCCAGGGGAACATCTCCCTCCACAGTCACCATCAGTTCCCAACTGAACCTTTAGGCTCTTTTTCCCAGGAAGGAGGCCCCTCAGATGACCAGGCCACCTGGGTTCCCAGAGCTGGGCAGGGCAGGCCAGGGCCTGGGTTTCTCACAGTTTCTCTCCTTTCCCCCCAGGGCTTCTGTTCCTGGTTCTTCAACAGCATAACTATGAAGTAAGTGCCCGGGTTCTACCAGCTTATGACCTCGTTGCTTTGGGGGTGGGGGGGGTGGAGGCGCCTGGAAAAATAAGCAGCCCCCAACCTGGGATGACAGGGCCTAAGCCCCATACCCTCCCACCACATCGGCCCAACACCAGTGACGGATGCTTTCCTGGGTTACGATTCAGTGCCCAGAGAGCAGAGGGGCAGCCCTTGCCCACCTCACCTTCTGGGTTTCTTGGATGCCAGACCCCACTTTGCAAACAAGCAGACCCCAAGTCACCTGTTTTCTCCCGCAAGCCAACCTCAGGCCACCTGTTTTCTTCTGATTCCCCAACCAGAAGCATCTGGTCTTCTACCAGTCAGACACTTCAGCAGAGCAGACACTTTCCAGAATGCTTTGTTCCCACTGGGTAGGCGTACACACATGCACACTCTTACATACATGCACACACATGCACATGTGCACATAGCACTACCTTCACCTCAGACCACTCACACTTATGGGCTCTCCCTGAATATGCTCCATCTGTTCTGCCTGCCCATCCTTTAAATCTTTCCTCCTCCCCCCCACCCCACCCAAAGACTCCTATCACAGAGGCCCCTCCATTAGGCACCCAGCATCTGGGAAAGCAGGAAGGTAGGGCATTGCACCATGCATACAGCACACTTGAGAGCAGTGTCATAGAAGATGGCTTAAAGCATTTACTGAGCAGGGATAAATCAAGCAGAGTCCCCATGCACAAATGCATGCAGTCTGTTGGAGAAATGAAGGTGAACAAGACTCCCTTCGTACCATTCAGAGTGGGAGGGTTATAATTGCTGTGCAAAAGGCATTTGGGGAAGAGAGAAATGAATTCCAACTGGAAAAGTCTAGTTTTGCGCTGGGCATTGGAGGACAGGAAGAGGTTCAGCAGGCACGATGTGGGATGTGGAGGGCACATCAGAAAAGAAGGACTGTGTGAGCCAGTTTGTTGCAGAGATGAGTAGGGTGTGCACAGATGTGTTCACTCTGGTGTGGCTAGAAGCAAGGTTTTGTGGTAAGCGTGGCAGGGGAGGGTAAAAGATTGGGCTAGAAGGATCAGCTGGAATTTTTTTTCTTTTTTCTTTTTTTTTTTTTTGAGACGGAGTTTTGCTTTGTATCCAGGCTGGAGTGCAGTGGCACGATTTCGGCTCACTGCAACCTCCACCTCCAGGGTTCAAGTGATTCTCCTGCCTCAGCCTCCCTAGTAGCTGGGATTACAGGCACACAGCACCACACCCAGCTAATTTTTGTATTTTTAATAGAGATGGGGTTTCCCCATGTTGGCCAGGCTGGTCTCGAACTCCTGACCTGAGGTGATCCATCTGCCTCAGTCTCTCAAAACGCTGGGATTACAGGCATGAGCCACCACACCCAGCCTCAGCTGGGATACTGAGAATCTTGGGCTCTCAACTAGAGACAGTAGGGAGCCAATTAGGGTTTTCAAGCAGGAAACTCGGAACGATATATGTGTGTAGACAGAAGTATGGAGGGTGAATGGCATTAGAGAAAGTCGAAAGTCAAGGTGAGCAGTTAAGGAGGCTCTTCCAATAAGGAAGAGGAGGGAAATGCTGGTGACCTGAACTTGGGCAGTGACCTGGAAAACAATGGTAGGGGAAGATGAGAGGGAGATCATGAGGCTAGTCAGCAGGTTGTGGCCTGTTTAAGAAAGGAAAAAATTGAGGTCTGGTTTCTGGGGAGGGGAGTAATACTATTAGGTGGGGGAGGAAACACAAAATGATGAGATGTAGTCAGGGCAAGTACTCAAGCTGAAAAGGAGCTGTTGGAAAAACAGGATTGAAGCCTAGGAGAAAGGTCAGAGCTAGAGATTTCAACTGGGGAGATGGGGCATGGAGGCTGTAGCTGAAGTCATGAGGGCAGATGGCCACCCAAGGAGGCAAGACCAGAAGCGGCCCAAGGGAAAGCCTCATTGAGGCAGGAGGAAGAGGCATCCTCTGGGGCTGGAATCCCTGAAGCAAGGCCAGGATGAGGCTCCCGTCTAGGGAGGGGTGGCCCAGCAACCTTAGTGCTCAGAGGTGGAGTAGAAGAGGGGCTGAGGAGAGGACATTGACTTTGGTGAGTTGGGTCTCTGTTTGGAGGGCAGGCCTGGGGTAGGATGTCCAAGACACAGAGGCAGAGAAAGATGGTCGCCTTTTTCCAGAGGTGCATGGAAGGAGGGAAGTGAAGCTGTTGGAAGGAACTGGAGGGGAACCAGGTTGGGGAACAGATCCAAGAGTGGATGCTTGGGGAGTTGTTTTATTACACAGTAACCAACAAGCACTTGAGCCTGGTTGTAGTTTATGGGGAAGAGGTGTGGGTGGATGCAGAGAGAAAAGGATGCTGAAGATGAGAGAGCAGAACAGTGGATCCAGCAAGTCTTCAGAAAGAGGTGAAAGGAGGGGATGCAATGAGAGCAGAGACAGGGAATTAAAAAGTAGGAAGAACGGTGATTGGCTGGAAGGCCAGGGCGGGGCACTTACAAGAAAGCTGGGGAAAGGAAACAGGTCTAGTGGTGGAGGCAGGAATTCCTGACCCAGGAAGGGAGTTCTAGTGCTCTCAGTGCCATCCAGTCCTGTTCAGCCTCTGCTCTGTCTGCCTGACTGGAGGCTCCTGGACCTCACCACCTGCTTGGGCAGAGCAAGAAGACACTTCTCTCCTTGCCAGAAGTTCTCATCTATCCCTCCTGGCATTTCATTCTCAAGTCCAGGGAGGGAAACATTTAGCTGCTCAAAGTTAAAAAATCAAGAGCTCTAAATAATTCCTCAAGTGGGAACACTGAAAACCTTGAAGGTGTGCTTTTTGTAGTATTGTTTAAAAATAAATCTTTTTTTTTTTTTTGAGATGGAGTCTCTGTCTCTCCTGGGCTGGGGGGCAGTGGCATGATCTTGGCTCACTGCAACCTCCACCTCCTAGGTTCAAGCGATTATCCTGCCTCAGCCTCCCAAGTAGCTGGGATTACAGGTGTGCGTCACCAAGCCTGGTTAATTTTTTGTATTTTTAATAGAGACAGGGTTTCACCAAATTGGCCAGGCTGGTCTTGAACTCCTGAACTCAAGTGATCCTCCTCACAAAAATATAGCTGGGCATAGTGGTGCACACCTGTAATCCCAGCTACTTGGGAGGCTGAGGCAGGAGAATCACTTGAATCCAGGAGACAGAGGCAGTGAGCCAAGATCGTGTCACTGCACTCTAGCCTGGGCGATAGAGTGAGACTCTGTCTAAAAACAAACAAACAAACATTACAAATGCTTTTTTTTTTTTTTTTTTGAGACAGGGTCTCACTCTGTTCCCCAGGTCACCCAGGCTGGAGTTCAGTGGCATGATCTTGGCTCAGTGCAGCCTCAACCTTGGAGGCTCAAGCGATCCTCCTACCTCAGCCTTCAGAACAGCTGGGACTACAGGCATATGCTACCACACCGAACTCATTTAGATACATAGATAGATAGATGATTGATAGATAGATAGATAGATAGATAGATAGATGATAGATAGATAATAGATAGATAGATGATAGATGATAGATAGATAATAGATGATAGATAGATAATAGATAGATGATAGATAGATAATAGATAGATGATAGATGATAGATAATAGACAGATGATAGATAGATGATAGATAATAGATAGATGATAGATAGTAGATAGATGGATGATAGATAATAGATGATTGATAGATAGATAATAGATAGATGATAGATAGCTAGATAATAGATAGATGATAGATAGATAATAGATAGATGATAGATGATAGATAGAAGATAGATAGATAGATAGATAGATGATAGATAGATAGATAATAGAGATGGGATTTCACCATATCGCCCAGGCTGGTCTCAAATGGCTGGGCTCAAGTGATCCATCTGCCTCCGCCTCCCAAAGTACTGGGATTACAGGCGCAAGCCACCGTGCCCAACCCCAAATGCTTTTTAGTCATTGTCTTAGGTTCAATGAGATTGTAGATGAATTATTTACTTCTCTTTCGTATTTTCCAAAGTTTCTAGGAGCATGTGTTGCTTTTAAATTGTTTAAATTGAAGTATAACACATACACGGAAAAGCACACACCAAAAACTGTACAGCTCAGTCATCACGAAGCTAAGCCTGTGCCACCACCATCCTGACCCACAAGTAGAACATTGCCAATACCCAGCAGCTCTCTTCCTGCCCCCCCATCTTCATCCCCATTCTCCCAAAACGTAGCAGCGTTCTTACTCCTAACTACAGCATTCTATATCTCAGAATTGCCTATAGCTGAACTTCATATGTGAAATCACACAGTGTGTGTTGTTTGTGCCTCGTGGCTTTTGCTCAGCATTGTGTTTGTGAAGTTCAGCCATGGGTCTATTTATTGCAGTATAGCGGGGTCCCCAACCTCCAGGCCACAGACCAATACCTGTCAGGAACCTGGCTACAGAGAAGGAGGTGAGCAAGCATTACACCTGTCAGATCAGCCATGGCATGAGATTCACAAACCCTCTTGTGAACTGCACATATGAGGGGTCTAGGTTTTGTGTTCCTTATGAGACCCTAACCAGTGCCTGATGATCTGAGGTAGAACAGTTTCATCCCAAAATTATCCATCCACCACCGCCCTGCACCCCCGTCCATGGGAAAAATTGTCTTCCAAGAAACTGGTCTCTGGTGCCAAAAAGGTTGAGGACCACTGCTGTCCAGTATTTCATGATTTATATATCACAATTCTTGTGTCCATTTCACCCTGATACACATGTAAGTTGTTTCCAGTTTGAGGATGTTACAAGTAACACATCTGTGAAATTTTTATACATGTCTCTGGGTACACATTCATGCATTTCTTTTGGGTATAAACCTAGGAGTGGAATCGCTAGGTCACAGAATGTACATGTATTCCATTTCAGTAGATAATATCAACTGTCCTCTAGCATAACTGGGCCGGTGTATACATCCATGAGAGCAGGAGAGCTCCCAATGCCCCACATTCTCACCAACACTTAGTGTTTTTCAACTTTCCAATTTTGGCAAATCTGGCAGTGTGGAGTGATGTCTCAGGTGTTCCTTTTTCCCTGAATAGGGTGCTTCTCGATATCATGAGTGCTTTGTCTGGTGCCGGCACCATCGAAAGCACTCAAAATATTTGAAGAAGTAATAAAAGGATGAATGAATGCTCTCTATCAAGAGTGCCTCTGGATTCCTGAGTGTATATCTGTAACAGAGCCTCTATCTTTGATATGTCTGTGAAATTCAGATAAAATATACTTTGGGAATAACAGAGGCTTTGAGATAGAGGGCAATATTTCCAAACAAAATAAAAACCTGGGGAAGGGAGTGATCATATGCTGCCCTTCCCTCTACCTCCCCCCAACAAGTGGCAGCCATGCTGGCTCCCAAGGCATGCCCTTGTGTGTGTGTCTCTTCCAGGGACGAGGATCTGATCAACAAGTGTGGGGACGACGCGCGCATCTACCTCGCGTTCCAGTACCACCTCATCATCTTTGTGCTCATCATCTGCATCCCCTCCCTGGGCATCATTTTGCCCATCAACTATACTGGATCTGTTCTGGGTAGGTAGAGCGCAGCAGGCCCCGGGACAGCAGCTGGACCTGAGGGGCAGCCAGGCAGTCCAGATGGGGCTGGGGTTGGGGGTCTAGACATCTATTTTAATCCTGGGAGTTAGTGGTCGTGTGAACTTGGACAAGCCACGCTTCACTTCTCTCATGTGGGGACTGGAGATGATTCCTCCTTGGTTACAGGTTTGACCCAGGGCCTGGCACACAACAGCTCACAGTATTAATTCAATTTGGAACTGAGTGTTCATTCATAGCCCCACTCTGGCCGGTTGTTCCTAGAGACCCTTTTATGACATGTAACCCACTACAAAGATTCCTGAACCCACTGTGTTAGACATAACACCATAGGTGCAGAATTTGTCTTGTAGAACATCTACTCCCACTCACTGAAACAGGGTAAACCCTTTGGACATAACAGCATTGTGGATGAGACCTTGGCTTCCAAAACAGAAAAATCATGGCTCCACAGTGTTTACCCACATCTGCTTCCCAGAAAATGCCTTTGCCTAGCTAACAGGTTATTTTATTTTATTTTATTTTGATTTTTTTGAGACAGCATTTCGCTATTGTCACATAGGCTGGAGTGCAATGGCGGGATGTCAGCTCACTGCAACCCCCACCTCCTGGGTTCAAGAGATTCTCCTGCCTCAGCCTCCCAAGTAGCTGGGATTACAGGCGCCCACCCCACACCTGGCTAATTTTTGTATTTTTAGTAGAGAAAGGGTTTCATCATGTTGGCCAGGCTGGTCTCAAATTCCTGACCTCCGGTGATCTGCCCACTTCGGCCTCCAAAAGTTCTAGGATTACAGGCATGAGCTACTGCACCCAACCGCTAACATCTTATTTAATCTTGTATATGGCAAATCAGTTTCCTGAACTTCAGTTTCCTCAACTATCCTAGGGATCGGCAGATAACATACCTACACAGTGCTTGATATACATAGTAGGTGCTCATTGAAGAGCAGCTCACATTTCACTTAGAATCATGAAGCCGAACAGAGCGGTATGAAGGCTGTGAATGGCATGGTGTCAAATAGCACCTTAAATGCCCCAGCGGCGACCAGCTCTGCCTCGATTCCTCAGGTTTCTACCTGTTTCTACCTCTGCTGGAGCTAGACCTTAATTAATTCAAGTTAGCACACTGAGTGTCCATGCCACCAAATTCCACTACCAGAGTAACTGAGTCCTATCTTTCCAGAGTCTCATCCTACCAGCTGGTATGTTGGCAATGATTATAACATGCAGGATTTTTAGACACATTTTACAAAACCTGGGGGTGTCTGAACTGTCAAACTAATACTCATAGCCAGAAGGATTTCCTGTGAATGAGGCAGTGTCGCCTTTTCTGGACATTGCCAGTGGTAATAGTGTTGCTAATTTCACCATTCTGCTCATGACTGGATGGCTGGTGCCTTCAACAAGCGTTCACTGGGTGTCCATTATGTGCCATTCATGCCCTGGAGATACCACACAAAGAAGTGTTGGCCAGATGCAGTGGCTCATGCCTGCAATCCCAACACTTTGGGAGGCCGAGGCAGGTGGATCATGAGGTCAGGAGATCGAGACCATCCTGGCCAACATGGTGAAACCCCATTTCTACCAAAAATACAAAAATTAGCGTGGTGGCATATGCCCATAGTCCCAGCTACTCAGGAGGCTGAGGCAGGACAATCGTTTGAACCTAGGAGGCAGAGGCTGCAGTGAGCCGAGACTGCACCATTGCACTCCAGCCTGGGTGACAGAGTGAGACTGTCTCAAAAAAAAAAAAAAGTGTTCTCACTTTTCCCCCGAGATCCCCAATCAGCCATGCCAGGGAATAGAGGCCTCTGATGTTTTTATTAAAAGTTGGGGACATGCTCTGGGGAACTGGAAGGAAGAAGAGGACGAAGGCAAGCATCTCTAGACCCCAAGCATTCATCCAGGAACCTTGAATCTGGCACCCCACGGCATCGGAGGAGCCAGGCTTGAGGTCAGCAGCTTCTTTCTCTTCCAGACTGGAGCAGTCACTTTGCTCGGACCACCATTGTCAATGTCTCCACAGAGTAGGTACCTGATCTTAACCTCCCATTCTGTTGGCTGGGGGTGTCAATGGGGAAAGGAGGTCTAACATGTCAGTTTGCAACCTGGGCACTGTTTTGCTGATAAGGAAGGCCTGGTGTTCCCTGGGAACTGGGTCCAGAGTGAGATGCCAGAAGCTGCATCCTCTTGGTGGGGCAGGACTCCTGGTGCCCTGTGTCCTCCTCTGTCATGAGTAGAGCTGCCCAAACTGGCCACTCATGAAGACCTGGAGAAATGGTCCTATTTGTTTAGTGTACCCAGATCCCAAGAGGCAGAGACCGTGTCCTGAAAGAGACTAAAGATTGTTTTTCTGCCATCAATAGGTTCTGGTCAGCCATCATATACCTGAGTGAATCATGGGCCTGACCGTCCCCCTCAGAGTCTCACCACTGACTCATGCCCACCTCTGCCATTAACTGGTGTGGGTCTGAAGCAGTGCACCCCCAACATGAGCTTTAGCCTGATCCATGTCCACTGTTGGGGAAGGGCCGTTGGATGTGCTCTCTAAGCTCCTTCCCCTCACAGGCCCAGAACCTGTGGGTTTCAACATCAGCCAACCCAACTAGTGGCCGTATCAATTTGCCCTGAGCCAAATGTGGCCCCACTGGTCCATGCCATGGCCCCCTAGGTGTCTAGGCTAGGCTTGGCTGATTCCTGACAAAGCTGCAGAAGCAGTTCCAAGCAAGTGTGAGTGAGGTTCACACATCCATGCCTCACCTCACCTCCCTGCCCTGCCCCGTCCCTCTGCCCCTGCACCTCTGCAATACACCTTGGAGCAGACTGGCTTAACTCAAACTCTGAAATGAGCAGAAAGGGGCTATGGCATCCCCTCACCTCTCCTTTTACCACATCCTCCCCTGGGGATGCCAACCAGAGCAGGGATATCAGCTCCCTCCTGAGGCCCATTGCTGGCCGGAGGTACCTACATCTTCCCAACAAAAACTGAATTCTAGTAGAGCAGCAAAAAGCCATCAGTCTCCATGAATCCATTCTGGCAGAGAGCTGGAGCATTCTGTACAGACCACGTAGCCTTGCCCCTCTGTGTAAATGGAGGGTGGAAGCATCTAGCAGATGGCAATGGCGTGTGAGGTTCCAGGCATTGAGGATATTTTGAAACAAGATGGCCTTTCTCTCCTCTAACCACACAGAATAAGGTGGGCCCTGTTTCTGAGCAGCAATCCTAGCCATATGCTTTGAGATGGCCTCATGTGGGTTAAAGCAGGGATGGCAAACGTGGCCCAAGAGCCTTCACTCTCTTACCTCAGGGGAGGTGCTGCAGACTGTCTGCCTGAGGCCTGCAGGTAACCCCGGCCTTTCCTCACTTGGTCTGCTGCGCAGCATGGGGGCCTGAGCTACAGCAGCTGGCAGAATGGCATTAGCAGTGAAGAATCTAAGTACTTCAGCAGCTCTGGGCTCACTTCCCAGAGCACCGCTGCTACAGTGACCTTGGGTGGGTCAGCAACCCACTCTCACCCTCATTTCCCTATGAGTGGAGTGAAGACAACCACATGCATACCTACATGCATGGTGGAGTCTAGTGAGAAAATGCACACCATGTACTCAGTCCCACCTGGATCTGGCCCAGAGTAAGCACTCAATAGACATCCCCACCATGAGCTGGAACCAGACCCTTCTCACCCCCGATGCCCTCTTCCAAGGCACCTGAGTGGCCTCCAAGAAGGTGTTCCTGGAAAGACTGCATGTGGGCTGGGAGAGGGGGGTCCAGGGCGATTGTGATTGGTGGGAGGGGATGTCTGAGAAGACTGCAGTGGATGGGGAGACATTTGAGGAGACTGTGATGGGTGAGAAGGGAGGGTCCAAGGAGACTGATGGGTGGGAGGGAGACCTGGGAGACTGTGATAAGTTGGGGGGTGTCCCAGGAGACTGCGATTGGTGGGGGCAGGTTGAAGGAGGCTCTGACTGTGACCAGTTGGGGGTTCAGGGAGACCACAATGGGTTGTTGGGGGGGTCCAAGGAGACTGTGATAGTTGGGAGGGAGCAGGGAGCCCTAGGAGACTGTGTGGGTGGAGGAGGTGTCAGGGAGACTGCAGTGGGTGGGGGTGTCCAGGGACACTGCCATTGGTGCAGAGGGATCCAGGGAGACTGGGATGGGCTGTGGGGGTCTGTGACTGTGACCAGCTGAGGGGTACGGGAAGACTGTGATGGGTGGAGATATGGGGAGACTGATTGAGGTGACCCCAGGAGACTGTGATGGGTGGGGGTGTCTGGGGAGACTCTGATGGGTTGTGGGGGTCTGAGGAGACTGTGATGGGTTGGGGGAGCCCAGGAGACTTATGGTAGGAGGAGGCCCAGGGGTCTGTATGCAGCGGGCTCTGGGAACTCGCAGGCTAACCTCACTGCTGCTGCCTCCCTGCCTGTAGGAGCAAGCTCCTGTGGCTGCACAGCCTGCTGTCCTTCTTCTACTTCATCACCAACTTCATGTTCATGTCGCATCACTGCCTGGGGTTTTCGCCCAGGAACAGCCAAAAGGTAAATAGCCCACAGAGCTGCTCCCCACTGGGAGATGGGGCCCCTCCCCACTGGACCAACTCCTCCCAGCCCGCAGAGAAGCCCTTAGAGGGTCCAGGGAGACTGTAACAGGTGGGAGGTGTGGTTTCACCTGAGCAGGGGCCAAGCTTCCTCCCTTCAGCCCTGGTAACAATCATCGGGCCCCCACCTCTCACCTTCCTCCACGCTCTCACCCTCCTCCGCCCTCTCACCCTCCTCCGCCCTCTCACCCTCCTCTGCCCTCCACCCTCTTGCCCTCCTCCGCCCTCCACCCTCCTCCGCCCTCCACCCTCCTCCGCCCTCCACCCTCCTCCGCCCTCTCACCTTCTTCTGCCCTCTCACCCTCCTCCACCTTCTCACCCCCAATGAAACTTTCAGACTGGTTGGTAAATAGCTGCTGCCCAGGTACCTCCTATCCCTGGCCTTCTGCTGTCCCGTCCCTCCCCAGGGCCTCTTGGACTTCCCATCATCTGCAGACCAAAGGATTAACAAGGCCCAGTGGGCCAGTGGGGGCCTCTGGGCTAAGTGGTCAGGGCCCTGCTGAACTCTGCTACCTAGTGTACCTGGCCCTGCCCACTCCTGCTAGGCCCATGCCTCACCCTTCTGCAATCTCTCTGAGGTCAGAGGCCCCTGTGTATCCCCATTGTCTCAGTTTGGGTGGGGATGTCCAAGCAGAGCCTAACACTTGGATTGCGTAGCACTTATTTATGGGAGGTGATCCCAGGAAAGGCCAGTAAGGGAGGGGGATGCAAAGACAGCCAGTAAAGGAGTGTTGACGGATGACTTACCACTGTGGGCAACTGGAGCTTCATGGCCCGGGAACTCTGGGGGTTGGTGTAGAATGCATGGCCCAGAATCTTCCTGGAGGTGAGCAATTGGGGATATTTTTCCACCAACTCCCTGTCCACCATTCATGGAGGGCTGCACTTAGGGGCTTTAGCTCCTCTGCTTCCTGCCCTACACAAAAGCTGAACATGTCCCCAAGGCCAGGAAAGAGCAGTCACAGTGTTTGAAGTATGCAGCAGGTTTTGGTGTGCAGAGATGACCACTGAGGGGCCAAGGGCAGGCGCCAGCAGTGCCACCCCCTGGACCAGCACCCATGCTCCAGTGGGGATGGGCAACAGTGAGGATGAGCACCCTAGCTCCTGTCCTCAGCCTTTCAAAGGTTCAGCCTGAGGAATCAGCTCCTTCCAGACCATCCATTCAAAAGGCCTGATTCGTTTGAACCCACCCCAGAGTACAAATCCACTTCCCCTGGAAAGTGACCCGAATGCTTCAGCCTGCCAGGCATGGAGGCTTGGTCACCCTTGACCAGTCTGGCCTCTGCCACTTCAGCTTTCCTTATCGTCACCAGAAGCCCTTTCAAGACCCCCGATTCTTGCAGTGCAATTTACTAGACAGTCATCTTAAAGATGACGGCCCAGGAAGATATTTCCCATTCACAGAATAAAATGTGAAGTTTGGAGGAAGCTTCCCTATTCTCTCCCCAGAGTCTCATTTACTTCCCAACTCCCCAACCCAGTCTCACATGAGGGATTTTCCTGGCAATGTGGGGCTTTACGCTGGAACGGTGGAAGCTGCAGGGAGACCAAAAATCACTGTGGGGTCGCTCGGGCATCTCTTTCCAATCATGGAGCTCTGACCCTCCACCCCAGCCTGACGGCAGCCTTCCAGCCCTTCCTTCCTTGACCACAGTGATCATGGCGGGACACCCACAGCTGGGCACTGAGGAAAACAGCTTAGAGCGGCCTGGCTCAGGCACTTCTTTGGCCCACAGTGGTCCAGCTTGGCTTTGGCTTTCTCAGCAAGGCGGCACTGGATCAGCAGCCTGCTGTGAGCAGAAGACCTGCTCCCAAGAGACTGGGCCACCAGAAGACTGCGATACCTGGAATTCCTGTGCAAGCAGTCTTCTCTCTCGTTTGCTTCTTCCCACGCAGGTCACAAGGACACTAATGATCACCTATGTGCCCACGGACGTTGAAGACCCAGAAATCATCATTAAGCATTTTCAGTAAGTGGGTCGGGTGGGCTGAGGCATGGATTGCTTCCTCCTCATAACCCCGTCTGTGTCCTCAAGTGGGTACTGAGTTGGTGCAGGATGGTGGGACTGGGAGACTCTGGGGGCGCCTCTCCCTAGACTCATCTCAGAATCAGCTTTTCAGAATGGGGAGGGCTGCTGGCACTGGAGCAGGGTTTCTGAAGTCAGGGACTTCCTGTGTGGCGTGGGTGTGATATGGGCAATGAGAATTTTCCTTACTCCTGCTGCTCCAACTACTGAGCACAGGGAACCTTGGATCACAGCTACTTAGAACACATCATCTGGAGACATCCTTTATGACCCCAAGTTCCTAGCCCCAAGGACACCATTCATGAGCTAATTATGTCTTTTGTGAACAGCTGTCTCCTCCTGGGTTCCCCAGTGGGCAGAGCTCCACCATTTGGCCCTGTTCTGAGTTGTGTAGGAAGGATTTGGAAGCTCTCAGATCACCAGGGTTCAAACCCTGAGGTTCAGCTTTAGGAGCAGAGATGGTGTCTCCCATCCAGGGACACCAGGCAGCTGAGCCAACCCAGCCCCGAGGGCTGACATGCTGGACAGGGGGTGGGGGCAGCACATTCCCAGCCTCACAGGCCGACTCAGCACTCATGTCTGTGGCTACAGCGAGGCCTATCCGGGCAGTGTCGTGACGAGAGTCCACTTCTGCTACGACGTCAGGAACCTGATCGACTTGGATGATCAGAGGTGAGACCTCAGTGAGGCCTTTCAGGGTCCAGGGTGGCGGTAAAAGAGGAGGATGGGACTCTGCTGGCCCCTGACCTGCAGGTCCTTCTCCCGTTGCCCATGCTGGCAGGCGGCATGCCATGCGGGGCCGGCTTTTCTACACAGCCAAGGCCAAGAAGACTGGGAAGGTGATGATCAGGATCCACCCCTGTGCCCGCCTGTGCTTCTGCAGGTGCTGGACCTGCTTCAAGGAGGTAACTAGCATTAGCATCAGGAGCACAGCAAGGGAGGGGTGGGGTCCTGGGGCTCTAGGCTCTGTGCCTTCACCCACAATGTTGGGCCCCAGGCCCCACTCAGGTCTGCTCCAGTGCTCCCCACCCAGCCTCTCCCTCCCCATCCACCATGTTCTCCCTCCCTGTTGAGATGGGAGCCTTTCTGAAGGCCACCTTCAGAACAATCCAGGGAAACCTGCTGCTGTCTCCTTTCTGGTCTTGGATGGAAGAAAGAGAAAGACCAGAGAAAATACAGCAGGCTGCCAGGCCTCAGACTTCCAAAGAGATAGGACAGAAACATTTGAAGGCAGCAGCGTGTCTTATCACCCAACCACTGTGGCTCAAAGAGGGCGTCAAGACTCAGACACCTGCTTCAGGACTGCATCAAAATTCTGCCAGTCCAGGAAAAGAATCACTCACTATCATGGAAATGTAGCTACTACATTCACTTTTCTGGGGTCCACCCCAAGCCTGAAAGCCCCCTGGTACCCCTAGCTGTGCCTCACTTTCCCCAGATCTGGGGGCAGGGGTGAGTGGCGGAGTCATCACCTCTTCTTGTTCTAGAGGGGGGCCTTTGAAGGCCAGCCAGGGTCCTGGACTCCTTGAGGTGCTTCAAGGCCACCACAATCCAGGGAGGCTGGAGCGGGGAGAGACCTCGGGACCAGGGAGGCCTTCCCAGGGCTCTGGCCCCAGCCCTGAGGGCCGCCTGCCACCCCAGGTGGATGCCGAGCAGTATTACAGTGAGCTGGAGGAACAGCTGACAGACGAGTTCAACGCTGAGCTCAACCGTGTGCCACTCAAGCGCCTGGACCTGATCTTTGTCACCTTCCAGGACTCCAGGATGGCCAAGCGGTGAGCACCAGGCAGGCGCCCCACTCAGCCCCAAGCATGCCCCTGCTTCTCTGCACTCTCCACCCTCACCTCCTCCAATTTCCCTTTCTGCCTCCCCTGGGCCTTCCAAGCTCCTCACAGGCAGCTGCCATCTGGCTCTCCAGCAGGATAAGATGGTCCTATCCACTCCCCCCAGCTGCTGGGGCCCACCTGGTCTTGAGGAGTGCCCAAGCTGGGACTTTTCACTTCCTGTCCTTGCTTCAGCACAGAGGTGGCCAGAGAAGCCTTTGATTTCATGGTTCCTCTTTGCCTTGACAAGAATGACATCCTTTTTTTTTTTTGAGTCAGAGTCTCATTCTATTGCCCAGGCTGGAGTGCAGTGGCATGATCTTGGCTCACTGCAACCTCTGCCTCCCAGGTTCAAGCAATTCTCCTGCCTCAGCCTCCCTAGTAGCTGGGATTACAGGCACCCACCACCATACCCAGCTAATTTTTGTATTTTTAGTAGAGACAGGGTTTCACCATGTTGGCCAGGCTGGTCCTAAACTCCTGACCTCAGGTGATCTGCCCGCCTTAGCCTCCCAAAGTGCTGGAATTACAGGCTCAAGCCACCACGCCCAGCCGACATCCATTTTCTCCCTCGTGGCACACACGTCACACGTCACTCACTCCTCACCATAAGAGAGATTCAGGACAGAGAAGCCCTGCCTGCCCTTCTCCTGGTACAGGCCTCCCTCACTCATAGCCCTTCAGCCCCCTCTCTTTTCTGCCCCAGCCTCTGGCAGCCCTGCCTTGACAAGGAGTGAATTCAGTCCACTCTGGAATGTTCCAGAAGGATCCTTAGGACAGGGCCAAAGTCCAGAATTCATCTCTTAAGAACTGTGGGGGAGCCCTCTTCTCTCTGGGAGAGGCTGATTTTGTACAGCACTTTGTCCTCACCCACCCCAACCCTACAAAGGAAGAGCAGAACTACCTAGATTTTACTCACAAACAATGGTGTACAATTTTGCAAGTTCCTTACATTCTCAACTTTTTATCTGGCAAATTTCGTTACTGGGATCTTCCCTGTTCACCTCCCAGAGGCTTAACAAGTGATATGTCTTCTATTTAGTTTTTGTGTTGTTTAAAGCAATACACCTACCTAAGCTAATACTGTTCGTTCTTTGAGTCATCGTCATTTGGTAGAGAGGATCAGAGGCTTACTTACAGCAGAATATGAGCTAGCAAGCCAGAGATGGGGCTCCATCTTTGTTCACATCTCTGGGCACCTCGATTTAGTCATCTGTGCAATTGAGATGATACTGGTCATCATTTAGCACAGTATCAGGCACACAGAAAGAACTCAATAATTAGTAGCTATTGATAATAAGATGGGGCTAAAATTAGTACCTCCCTTACCAAAACTCAGAGAAAGAGTGTGTCTATGTGCCGTCACTGCTGTTAAAGGGAAAGGCAGAAACTGACAAGCACATGGCAGTCTAGGCACCTTCCAATGCCCTTTCCTCCAGATACTGGGCCTTAGGAACTGTCCGCCTCTAAGGTGCTGAAGAATATCCAAGACTTCAAGAATCCCCAGGGAAGGGTTGAGCCTCATCTGTAGAACCACCATAGTGGCCCCGAGTCCCTGGCATGAGGCCCTCTTAAGCCCATCCTTCTACCCCACATCTTCTCCTCCTCTCTCCTGTCTGCAGCGTCCGTGAGGATTACAAGTACATCCAGTGTGGTGTACAGCCCCAGCAGTCCTCAGTGACCACCATCGTCAAATCCTATTACTGGAGGGTTACTCTGGCCCCACACCCCAAAGACATTATTTGGTAAGCCTCCTCCATCCCTCCCCTCACCTCTGAGCTCCTCTGAGACTGAAGAAGGCAGCAGGACAGGGCCTTCTCTTCTCCATGTCCCCAACGGAGACTACCAAGGGAACATGCTGTCCTGAGCACTACAGCCTCTGTGTACCCCCAGATTCATTCCCACAAGTGTGGGAGGCATCCAACCCTTAGCAAAAATGTTTTTCCTTTAGAAGGAACTCAGGTCCGTTTTTTTTGGCTGTATGCTCCAGATCCTTTACAGTGTGACAGGGGCGGCCCAGGGCCCATTGCATGCAGGTCTGGGTCCAGGAGGCTGAATTAGACTAGGGTAGCCTGGGTCCATGGCTGGCATGCAGCAAACAGCATGTGGACTCTAAGAACCGATGTCTCTTAAGTGTGCCTCCTTCTTCCATCCCTCCTTAGGAAACACCTATCTGTCCGCCGCTTCTTTTGGTGGGCCCGATTTATCGCAATCAACACCTTCCTCTTCTTCCTCTTCTTCTTCCTCACCACGCCTTCCATCATCATAAACACGATCGACATGTACAACGTCACCCGCCCCATCGAGAACCTGCAGGTACCTCCTCTGCTCAGGCCAGGCCTAGGGGCCCCAGGGAGATCAAGGAAGAATTCAGGATGGGATGGGTGGGGGGGCCTGGGTTGGGGCTGTGGAGCCTATACAGTGCAAACTTTGTGGAGGTGGCCATGGTGCAAATGGTGGGGTAGAGTTTGTTTTGTTCTAAAAAGATGAAGGTGGGTGACTTCCAGTCTTAGGGACCAGGGCTAGAGTGGGAAGGGAGAGTGGGGAATTCACAGGCAGGTCCTGTGGTGAGTGGAGGGGGTGTTGTCCTGGCAACATGGACTCAGAGGTCTTCATGGATGGGGTCATCCCAGGCCAGCTGGGGGTCCAGAGGGCATGGCAAGTGTGAGTGGCTCTGCTCTCTGCAAGTTGTCCAGGGCAGCAGGCTCCTGATTTGTGTGGCAGGGTTGAGGGTGAGGAAGAGTGAGGTAAGTCACAATGCAGCCCTCTCAGAGAAGTGTGAACTCCAGATCTGCCTCCACCTCCCTCACTCCAGACACCCGCACTCCAGGCTGGGAGCCTCAGCCCTGGAGGAGCCATCCCTGAAGTCAGGGGACTCCTCCTGCTGATGGTGCAGGTCAGAGGGAGCATTAGCCCATTTCCAAATTCTTTCTCCTCAAGGCTGTTACGATGAGCCTAGGAGGCCCCTTCTTCCATGTTCTCTCCATCCCCATTTCCAATAACACACATGGGCACGTGCATGTGCACACACACAAAGTCAACACATGTGCACATGCACACACGCACACAAAGTCAACACGTGCATATGCACACATGCACACATAGTCAACAAGCGCACGTGCACATACATGCACACACACACACACAAGTCAAGCCACACCACTTCTGCCGCTTTTTGTTCCCCTTCGTCAATTTCGTAATAGGCCCCAGACTCCCCCGCCAGGCATCCTGGGTGTGCCACAGCTCTCCCTGGGGACTCCTCCATCCTCGCCTCCTCCTCTGCTCACATGTCATCACAGCAAAGGCAGTGTCACCTCCCAGCTGGCTCTGGTTTGTGGCCAGCGTTGGAGTGATTTCTCCAGCTTGGTTTAAAATCTGTTCCAGCCTGAGGAATGGAGGGAAAATCATCTGTTTAGGGGTCTCTACCTTGGGTCTGAGTCTTGTTGTGAATATCTTTGATGGTTGCCAATAAAAGTTTTTCTTCCCTCCCCAGGAGGGAGTCACTCAGGAAAGCTCAGGCTGCCCTTCCAGTGACCTCAGCATAGAAGGCCTAGCCCCTCAGGGACTCCACTTGACCTTGGGTGTCAGCCTCTGCCTGGCCAGGAAGGCCATGAGAAGGGCCAGGCCCCTTGCAGCCTCCAAGAGAGCAAGCCAGCCCTGGAAGTGAGCAGGAGAAGAGGAGGCAAGAGGAAGGGGCTGCTTGCGTTGACGTCTCTCCTGCCATCCTCCCCTCTCCCCCTGCAGAGCCCAATTGTGACCCAGTTCTTCCCCTCCGTGTTGCTCTGGGCCTTCACAGTGATATTGCCTCTGATTGTCTACTTCTCCGCCTTCCTCGAGGCCCACTGGACCAGGTGACTTGGGGGCCTCCTCTCCTAGCCCTGCAGTTTCTCCAGCCTCTTCTGCCCTGGCTTCCCCGCCAGCCTGGCACTTGGGCCTCCCCTCTAGCCTAAGGAGGAGAACTGATAAGGGATGGTTTTGATACCTGAAACCATCCCCAAAGACCAACAGGTGTTCTCTCTTTGGCAGGAGGGTCTGGGTGGTCTCTGGGCCCCTGGGATGCTGAGACAGAGCCACCGCCTGACCGTGGGGCCAAAACCAAGCCCTCCTCGGGCTTCTCCCTCAGCCCCCAACCATATCCTGAAGGCATGGAGCTATAGGCATGAGCTAGGCAGTCCCAGGCATTCCAGGCAGAAGGCACAGGAGAAAAGACTCGTGTGGGACAGGCGATAGACTGCTGTGGCCACACAGAGTGGCCCACGAGCTCACTGTGGCTGTCATCACATATGGCTCACACCATGCCAACCTTCGACCCAATCAGGAGCTTTCCCATTTGTTAGCCTTGACGGTTCTATGGTGGCAGCTCACTGGGTAGAAAGTATTTGCCATACTCTGGGCAGGTGGCACTACTTTGGCTTGAAGGCTGAATGTATCTCAAAAGTTGTTTCCTGCACCAAAAGTTCCTACCATTCCACCAGGCAGCAAGCCAAAAGGTTTGTCCTAACAGAAAGCCTTCCTGGCCTTTCCTCTGGCCAAGAACAAGACTTATATTGATCACTGACACTCTGCAGGGATTTTGCATATTCTTGGTAATGTCTCTTTAACGCAGAGATGTCAACTATGTGGCACATCTGTGCCTTCCCATCCCTTCCCATGCCCAGCACAGATATCACAAGTCGATCATGCTGTTCTTTCCTGCTGCTCCCAGATGCAGCACAGCTCACAGTGGTGTATGGAGATGGCGGTATGCATGATCAAACCCATTTTCCAGCCCAGACCTCTACTCTACATACGTCTGTATTAGTTCATTTTCACACTGCTGATAAAGACATCCCGGAGACTGGGTCATTTAGATAGGAAAAAAGGTTTATTGGACTTACAGTTCCACATGGCTGGAGAAGCCTCACTATCATGGTGGCAGGCAAGGAGGAGCAAGTCACTATCATGGAAGCAGGCAAAGAGAGCTTGTGCAGGGAAACTCCCTCTTATAATACCATCAGATCTCACAAGACTTATTTGCTATCATGAGAACAGCATGGGAAAGACACACCCCCATAATTCAGTCATCTCCCACTGAGTCCCTCCCATAGCTCATAGGAATTATGGGAGCTACAAGGTGAGATTTGGGTAGGGACACAGAACCAAACCATGTCAGCATCTCTCTTCCTCTCTATTTTTCTTTTTTTGAGATGGAGTCTTGCTCTGTTGCCCAAGCTGGAGTGATGTGGTGCAATCCCAGCTCACTACAACCTCTGCCTCCTGGGTTCAAGCATTTCTCCTGCCTCAGTCTCCCAAGTAGCTGGGATTACAGGCGCGTACCATCACACTCAGCTAATTTTTGTATTAGTAGAGATGAGGTTTCACCATGTTGGTAAGGCTGATCTCAATCTCCTGACCTTATGATCTGCCTCAGCCTCCCAAAGTGCTGGGATTACGGGCGTGAGCTACCGTACCTAACTCTTCCTCTCTATTATGTAGTTAGGCCCTTGGTTCTTCTCAGGCCATCCCCACTGATGAATATCTCTCTTCGTTTCCTTCTAGATCAAGTCAGAACCTGGTCATGGTACACAAGTGCTACATCTTTCTGGTATTCATGGTGGTCATTCTGCCCTCTATGGGACTGACCAGGTACCATACTTCCAATTATCCCTCCTGTCTTAGCCAGGCTCTCCTTAGGGTTAAGACCTCCTCCTTCAGATACTGAGGCCTGCCTGTGGTTGCTGCAAACCTACTCCTCAAATGACAGCCTTGTGCCTGTCATGGGTGTAGCATGAGCCAGGCTTCATACAAGCACTAACGTGTCAGCCATGAACTTGGCCAACATAGAGCTTATCATCTGGCTGGGGACACAAGGCATGCTTGCCAGCTGACCAACAGCCCCACATGGGAACAACACAGCCAAAAAGCTGTAGAAATTCAGAGAGGGAGAGAGTACTGTGAGAGACACGAGTGGGTACTGAGAGAGACACGAGTGGGTACTGAGAGAGACACCAGTGGGTACTGCAAGAGACACAAGTGGGTACTAAGAGAGACACGAGTGCGTACTGCGAGAGAAATGAGTGGGTACTGTCAGAGACATGAGTGGGTGCTGTGAGAGGCACGAGTGAGTACTGCGAGAGACATGAGTGGGTACCGTGAGAGAAATGAGTACTGTGAAAGACCATGAGTGAATACTGTCAGAGAAATGAGTAAGTACTGTGAGAGACATGGGTAAGTACTGTGAGAGACATGAGTGAGTACTGTCAGAGAAATGAGTAAGTACTGTGAGAGACATGGGTGAGTACTGTGAGAGACATGGGTGAGTACTGTCAGAGAAATGAGTAAGTACTGTGAGAGACATGGGTGAGTACTGTGAGAGACATGAGTGAGTACTGTGAGAGACATGGGTGAGTACTGTGAGAGACATGGGTGAGTACTGTCAGAGAAATGAGTAAGTACTGTGAGAGACATGGGTGAGTACTGTGAGAGACATGGGTGAGTACTGTGAGAGACATGAGTGAGTACTGTGAGAGACATGGGTGAGTACTGTGAGAGACATGGGTGAGTACTGTCAGAGAAATGAGTAAGTACTGTGAGAGACATGGGTGAGTACTGTGAGAGACATGGGTGAGTACTGTCAGAGAAATGAGTAAGTACTGTGAGAGACATGGGTGAGTACTTTGAGAGACATGAGTGAGTACTGTGAGAGAAATGCTTGCTCACAGTTTTGCAAACTGGCCCAGGTTTGCTGGAGGAGGTGGCTTCTTGAACTCAAAGGCCAAAGGGTTCGGGACAGGACAGCCCAGCAATAAGAAGGCAGAGTGGAAGTGTGGACTGGCCAGCTGGAATAAAGCAAGGGTCTTTGGAGGTTGGGCAAGGGAGGATGGTTGAACCCTCAGCCTTAGCTCAGGTTTGCTAACTAACAGGCCTGCCTTGTTTTTGCTTCTAGTTTGGATGTCTTTCTTCGCTGGCTCTTTGACATCTACTATCTAGAGCAGGCCTCCATCAGGTTCCAGTGAGTACTCCCACATGTCCACCAGGGCTGCTGTGTGCACTCACTGAAGTGGGTATACGTGCTCTGCCCTGAGTCCAGCACCCAAATTTGCTCACAGAAGTGTGGACAAATGCTTGTGAACTTCCTCACTGAGCAGACTCATTACCTTTCCTCTGCTAAGATCTCTTCGGCAATCTGGTTAATCCCAGGGACTCCTTCTCAGAATGACGTTTTTGAAATAATTGTATATTCACAGGAAGTTGTCCCAAACCAGTGTGGGGGTGGGTGTTTCATGAGCCCTTTATGCAGTGTCCCCCAGTGGAAGCATAATTCTAGTGCAATAGCAAAACCAGGATATTGACACTGGTCCGATCTGCAGAGCTTATTCAGATTCTGCCAGTTTTACATGTGCTCGGAATGATGTCTTTACATGCACAAAATACATGGATTACAAAGAAAACCAATTATACTGAATTATAGTTATCAAGATATTTCAAAAATCAAATTTTTGACATAGTTTTTATAAACGCATCAATAACAAGATATTGCTTTTTTTTTGAGACCAAGTCTCATTCTGTCACCCAGCTGGAGTGCAGTGGTGCAATCTCGGCTTACTACAACCTGTACCTCCAGGGTTCAAGCAATTCTCCCACCACAGCCTCCTGAGTAGCTAGGATTACAGGAGAATGCCACGATGCCAGGCTAATTTTTATATATTTAGTAGAGATAGGGTTTCACCACACTAGCAATGCTGGTCTCAAACTCCTGGCCACAAGTGATCTGCCCACCTTGGTCTCCTAAAATGCTGGGATTACAGGCATGAATCACCACGCCCAGCTGATATTGCATTTTTTATATAGGTGAGCTAAAGTTACATTTTACTTCTTAAAAACATCAGTATAAAAGCTGATATGACTTATGGGATAAGAACATTAAACTGGGGGGGGATCTTCAACAAAGTAACATGCAGACCATGTGGGACATTCTGCCAGTTTCAAATTTTTTTGTTTTTATGGTAACAAGTGTTGAGAATCCCAATTTTCAAAGACATGCAATGACATGCAAACTTCCATAACTTGCTCTATAAGGCAAGGATCAGAATTCTCCAAGATATTTTTTAGTAGAGATGGGGTTTCGCCATGTTGGCCAGGCTGGTCTCAAACTCCTGACCTCAGGTGATCCACCTGCCTCAGCCTCCCAAAGTGCTGGGATTACAGTTGTGAGCCACCATGCCCTGCCATGTTGCCCACATTCTTCATGCAAGAAAATGCCAAATTTCAGTTGGAGATTCATAAAAATAAAGATGTTATTTTTTTCCCATCCTAGTTTACAGACCCCCAGAAACCCACTCATGGATTCTCCAGAGTCTCTGGACCTGGGTCAGACACCTTGCTTTGGATCAAGCCAATGCATGTATCCCCTAACACATCCAGGCTTTATGTGGTTCCCGCCCCTCCCTGCTCAGTGGCCTGCTTGTTAACTTAATTGGGTTGGGGACATACGTATTATAGGAGAGAGAGAGAGAGAGAAGAAATGTTACTCTCTGTCTGTTTCTGTATCTCCACCCCCACTCCCATTTCCTCTGCTGCTCTCCTCTCTCTCCCCGCTTTCAACGTCTCTCCTTTTCCCCCCCATGACTTCTGTCCCCACCCACCCTCTCCCCGACTGCCCAGGTGTGTGTTCCTGCCAGACAATGGCGCTTTTTTTGTCAACTACGTGATCACGGCAGCTTTACTTGGCACAGGCATGGATCTGCTGCGTCTAGGGTCACTCTTCTGGTACAGCACCCGCCTCTTCTTCTCTAGATCAGAGCCAGAGAGAGTCAACATCAGAAAGGTACAGGCTGGCCCTTCACAGAGCACAACCCTCAGTTTCCCTTGGGAGGGTGACAGGGATAGGGCCTGCTAGAAGCATCAAGAGGATTGAGGTGGGAGGGATGGTGAGGATGGGTGGTGGGGGGGCACCTTGGTCTCCCGGGCTGGAAGGGAGGCTGCCTCCCTTGGTCTCCAGGGCTGGAAGGGAGGCTGCCTCCAGGCCTGAGCTGCCAGGAGGCTGACAAGGAACCACAGAAGTAGCCAAGACAAGGGGACTGGGCCACCTGAGGGTGACACCTGCCTTCTGCCCCAGAACCAGGCCATCGACTTCCAGTTTGGGCGTGAGTACGCATGGATGATGAACGTGTTCAGCGTGGTGATGGCGTACAGCATCACCTGCCCTATCATTGTGCCTTTTGGTGAGTCATCTCTGAGGCATGCCCAAGGGCTGCACACCCACAGATGGGGAGGAGAAATTGAGCCCCATAATATCAGCCACCTCCTGGAGCACAAAGAAACCTGTGATGGGGAGGTGTCAGGGCTAAGGCCAAGCTGGGGGTGCAGGGGAGCTGAGGTTGGATGGCTGCTGACAGGAAATGTTTGCTGAATGAATGCATGAGTGAATGACTCTTCATCAAGCTGGAAGAATCAGTTCTGGGGGCTCAAGGGAAGCTGCTGGCCCCAGAGGTCAGCACCATGGAGCTCCCCCAACCTATCCTTGGCTGGTGTGACTCTGACAGCCCTGGATCTGGCTTCTCAGGCCTGTGGAGACATTGGAGCCACAAAGGTCCTGACTTGAAGGGGCCACTGAGTAAATCTCTGCCTTTGGCCCCCAGGGCTGCTCTACCTGTGCATGAAGCACCTGACGGATCGCTATAACATGTACTACTCCTTCGCACCCACCAAGCTGAACGAGCAGATCCACATGGCCGCTGTCTCCCAGGCCATCTTCGCACCACTCTTGGGTCTGTTCTGGATGCTGTTCTTCTCCATCCTGCGGCTGGGTAGGTATCGAGCCTGCCTGGAGACCCCACCTCCGCCTGCCCCACTGCTCTGTGAGTTCCTCAACACTGACCCTGTTACAGGAGAAAAACCCAGGTGGGGCAAGATGCTGCTCACCAGACCTGGCCACATTCAGTGACTTCTCTGGGCCTGAAGGGCCTGTGTTCGAGTCTCAGTAGATCTTCGAGGCTAAGAGGAGGGCCTGGACCAACATGGTCCACAGGTGTGACTCTGAGTTTCCAACACTCAGGGAGGGAAACCTCATACTCCTTCATTCTAACTCCAGACGCTCAGGAAATAGAATATCAGCTATTGGGAAGCTTGGTTCCCATGACAGTTCCTCTGGGATCCTATAAGATGCCTGGTTTTTTGTTTTGTTTTATTTTTTAATTTTATTTTTTGAAACAGGGTCTTGCTCTGTTGCCTATGCTGAGGTGCAGTGGTGCAATCACAGCTCACTACAACCTTGACCTCCCAAGCTCAAACAGTTCTGTCACCTCAGCCTCCCTGGTAGCTGGGACGACGGGCATGAGCCATCATGACAGGCTAATTGTTTTTAATTTTGTAGAGATGAGGTCTCACTATGTTGGCCAGGCTGGTCTCAAATTCCTAGGCTCAAGCAATCCTCCCGCCTAGGCCTCCTAAAGCACTGGAATTATAAGTATGAGCCACCACGCTCAGTGGTAGATGCCTGGTTTTGGGGGTTGCCAAAAACCCAGAGAGGAACCAGACACTGCAGTAGAGGCCAGCCTTTACCTCACACTTTAGCTTCACAGAGCTGCTGTCCCTGCCCAGGGGAGCTCAGAGACACCCTCCTGGAAGCAGTCCCTGCAGGCCACAGATTAGAAATCCCTCAGCTTTCTCCCCTTGCAGGCACCTGTGCCCCCCAGCAATCCCCAGCCCCACTGCCCTTCCCTCAGGACACTTGACCTTAACCTTCTTAGTGGTGGGAGAAGGGAGAGGTGGCATTTTCTTTTCTCTCCCTGTCATTCCCCCTGGGCTTCAGTCTTGCCAGGCTGAAGGTCTGGAAAGACAGAAGCTGAGTTAAATTCCAAGGTGGTGAGAAGAGGTGGTGTTTTCTTTTCTCTCTCTGCCACGGTGGCACCCATGGGGTTGACTCTCAGTCACACATGTGGCTTACCCATTTGCTGTCACCCCCAGCGGCTTATCCCTGCCTTTCCCTGCCACCTCTCAGACTTCATTTATTTTTCCATAGTGCTTTTTTCTAAGAATAAAGGACTGCATGTTTATTATGAAAAATAGAAAAAAATATATGAAGACTAACATGTAAATAACCCATCATCTCACCCAGAGCCGGGTGTCTCTTATCCCCAGCCCCACTTCCAGGCATGCGCGTTAGGTGGGAGCGGGGAGCGTCCAGAGGCAGCTGTTGGTCTGTTGTTACTTTACAAAACTGTGATCATCCACATTGTATCATTCAGTCCTGTACCCTGAGGTTTTGTACTGAACGCAATGTTCTGAGCAATTTCCAAGGCTGTTAAAAGACTGAACGTGTAAATGTCTTTCAGTGGTTGCGAGTTTTAGTCCGTTCTCCATGATTGGATATTGAGATTTACCATTTTTTGCTACTATAAAAACACTGCAGTAAGCATCATTAAGCAGTGACCTTTGACTGTAAAGCGTGATTTTAAAAATATTTACTTAGTTAAAAACTGCTGCCGTAAAAAAAGGGACCAAATAGGCCGGGCGCGGTGGCTCACACCTGTAATCCCAGCACTTTGGGAGGCCGAGGCGGGTGGATCACGAGGTCAGGAGATCGAGACCATCCTGGCTAACACAATGAAACCCCGTCTCTACTAAAAATACAAAAAATTAGCTGGGCATGGTGGCACACACCTGTAGTCCCAGCTACTCAGGAGGCTGAGGCAGGAGAATCGCTTGAACCCGGGAGGCGGAGGTTGCAGTGAGCCAAGATCACGCCAGTGTACTCCAGCCTGGGTGACAGAGCGAGACTCCCATCTCAAAAAAAAAAAAAAAAAGGTGGGGGTACCAAATATTCCCAAATGCAATGTAGGTGACTTTTACCTTCTAGATGTCCTCTCTGTGCCATCAGCAGAGATAACTGAGCATGCTCACTTCAAAAGGCCTTTCAGGGAAAGGTGTAGGTCAGAGATGGTGTTGGGGGCACTGGCGGAAATGGTCACTCATAGATACTTCCCAGGGACCGTGGTGTTGGAGGTTACTGTCAGGTCAGGAAGGATATGTTGAACGGGCACTGAAGTGGGTACTGAAGTCAATTAAAATATTTTATCATGGACTCCACAAGATGCCAAATTCTAAACTGGTCAAATAGACAAAGGGATGATCTTATTGTGTCAGATTCCTTGATGCCATTGTTATCAGAGCAGGACTAGGCAAGGTCAAAGTCCTCACGGTGGTGTGTCACGGTCCCCAGGCATCTGCCTGTTGAGGTGGCATCTCAGCTGGCAGACTCCTGCCCATGGTCCTTTCTTCTCTTTGGCAGGCTCTCTCCATGCCATCACCATCTTTTCCATGTCCACCCTCCTCATTTCCATATCAATTGCCTTTGTTGGCATTTTTCTGGGAAAGCTTCGGATGGCCACCGACTATGAGGTGAGTTGCCAGCCTGCCCTTCCTCCACTGGTTCTCCTGGTCCCCAGGGTACAGAGCTGTAGGATACCCTCCAGGCCTGGGCTCCCATAGCACCAGAGGACAAAAGGGTCTTGCCTTTCTCTCTGACCATAGAGCATAGAGCCCAGCGTGAGTGCATTCATGCCTTGCACCAACTTAGACCCTGTCCCCTCTCCAGAAGACAACTGTCCTCTCCTTTTCTGCCCTCTGACACCAAACTGCTGGCCGCTCCTTCCTGCGATGTGAGTCCAGTGAAGCCACTGAGCTGTGAGCCTCCAAGGACTGGACGCTAAGAGAGATGATGGAGCAAAGGAGGTTGTCAGGGGAGCTGATAATGAACCCGAAAAGGGGGATTATCGTTTTCTCTCCTTTAAGACCCCAGGCTGTTGAACTTGAGGCTGTCATGCTTGGAGGTGGCCCCTGCCCCACATGACTCCTTTGGCTGTTGGCAGAGGGCCCAGCCTACTCATTAGGAGAGGGGAGCCAATCCATGCCCTTTTAGAGCCATGCCAACAACTGTGTGTTCCAGCTCAGCATTTTCCAGAAAGGATGTCTATCCTTGGGCACTGGAGTGATTTCCAGTGGATCACAACATAATTTTTCATTTTTCATGGTTATGTATTTAACATTAACTTTCTGCTTATGACAACTGACACAGTTTCTGTTTATAATACTGAATCATTTCCTTTTTTTTTTTTTTTTTGATGAAATCTCACTCTGTCTCCCAGGCTGGTGTGCAGTGGCATGATCTCAGCTCACTGCAACCTCTACCTCCTGGGTTCAAGCAGTTCTCACCTCAGCCTCCGAGTAGCTGGGATTGCAGGCACCCACCACCACGCCTGGCTAATTTTTGTATTTTTGGTAGAGACAGAGTTTCACCATCTTGGCCAGGCTGCTCTTGAACTCCTGACCTCATGATCCACCCACTTCAGCCTCCCAAAGTACTGGGATTACAGGTGTGAGCCACTGCGCCTGGCCAAATCATTTCCTTTTTTAATGAATATATGTAAAGGAAAAGAAGCTGATTTTAAGAACTGACACCTGACTGAGCCAGAGGAGGGACTTGGAGGAGGATCTCCTTGCTTCTGATGTCTCTGTGTCCAGGGCTCTGGGCACGAGCGCCCACTGCCCTCTCTGCCCAGCCTTCCTCTTCCATGCCTGGCTGGAGCACCACTTAGTGAAGGGCCAGCGTGAATGACCCACTGTCTCTGTCTTTCTAATACAGCAGCATCATGTGCTTGGGTTGCCCAAGTGTCCACTCTAGAGAAGGAGGATGCGGGAACCTAGGCTGCATTGGTATAGGATTCTTTCCAAACTAGAAGGGAAGCCACAGGAGGAAAGACAACAGTGCTGAAGTCAAGGCTTCTCCTGGAGTCTAAGCAGGCTTGTCTTTGAACCTGTCCCACTTCTGCTTACTTCCCCCGATGATGGTCCTTGGGAATAGAACATTCCAGAAGGGACTCCCTAACATCCCAGCCCTCTCTCTGTCCCCCTGAACTTCAGTCTTGCCAGGCTGAAGGTCTGGAAAGACAGATTAGTTGAGTTGAGTTCCAAGGTGGTGAGAAGCCCAGGTGTGGGCTTGAGGATCCTCTGGATGTGGGGGGAGGAGCAAAGAGCAGACCCCCATCCAGTAACCCACTACCTCTCCCTGCGGCAGCCCGAGGAGGAGGAGATCCAGACAGTGTTTGACATGGAGCCAAGCAGCACCTCCTCCACGCCCACTTCCCTCGTGAGTCCTGAGTCTCGGGGACAGGTCGGGAGGGCGGTGCTTGCAAGGGTGGTCTGCTCCAGTGGCATTCTGGGGGACACCAGCATTTGATGCCCATTCTGGGCATAGGGGAGGAGATGGGGGACCCCTGGGCTCCCTCCTCTGATGCAGCAGGACTTGGCCCAGGTCAAAATGCTGCCGTGGCCCTGGCTGAAGAGTGGGGAAAAGAGAAGAGCCACCATGTACTCGGCATTGTCTGGAAGCCACCCAGAGAGCACCTACTTGGTCAGGGAGGCCCAGACCTCAGCGACCTCTGTCATGTAGATGCAGGGGGGCCTGCTGAGGCTTGGTCTCAGGACGCAAGGCTGCCCCCGAGGGCACAGGTGCAGGCAAAGCGACGCAGACAGAGCTTCTGGGAACTATTAGAAATCTGCACTGATGGTAAGGCAGGGATGCTGAATGAGCGAGCCAGTCTGCCTGCAGAGAGGCTGGCTCGGAGTGCAGGGCCACCAAGGCACACACTGAGCTGGGTACTGGGGTCAGCCTGTGCCCCAAGGCCAGGGCACCTCGGAGGAGTCTGAAGAAGGGTGACAGCCAGCCTGGCACTCAGTGAAATCATCCCAGAGGAAGGAGCTTCAAATCGGACCCCAGGAATGGGCATATGGGATGCCAAGTGAAGTAGGGTGTGGGGCAAGAGCTTTCAAGGACGAGGAGCAGCCTGTGGAAAGCCCTGGACGATAGACCATAGCTTGGGGACTGAAGATAGCTTTCAGCATGGTGGAAACGCAGAGTGGACAGCAGGGCCCTAGGGGAGCTGAGGCTTTCTTTAGTCATGGGCAGAGCTGGGTGTGAGCGCACAGTGACAGAGCACAGACAACACAGCAGCAGGGGGCCAGAAGTCACCGGAGGGCCAGGTTTCCTCACTTTGAAAAACCCTACATACAGGCACAGATTACCTCTGAGAGGGGACAGGAGAAAGTGCTTCGATAATGAAGAGACGACCAGGATTTCAGAGCGAGAAAGTCTCTTTTCCTGGGACCCTTCCAAAAGGATCCCTCTTGGAATATTGTTAGCAATAAGGGTTTGAAATCCTCTTATGAGCCTGGCGCTTTGCTGTTTTCCCTCTTAATCTTTTGGTAAACTCACACAGTAGGGTTTTCATCCCCAAATGGAGGCTCAGAAGATCAGTCAGTGTAGACTCCAGGGCACCAAGCAAGGAAGTGTCAGGACAAAGTTCAAACCAGGTCCATCTGATTCTAAACCCTATGCTTTTAAAACATATGACTAAGATTTATTTTTTAAATCTTGCCTTATTACAACAGGTCTGTGTGAACATTGTGCATCGTTACGGGGAGGGGAAAGGATAAGCAGAAATAAGGAAATAAAAAGTCCATATTCCCACACCCAGAGATGACCACCGATAGTGTACATTCCTCCAGATATGTATATGTTATGATCTCTTTCAGATAATTGTATGTGATTTACATTTGCTAAAATGAAATAGTAGTGCACATACCGTTTTATGAGACCAACGCACTGCCCACGGTCCTACGAGGGCAACAACACATACTGTTTTATAACCTTTTTTTTTTTTTTTTTTTTTTGAGACAGTCTTGCTCTGTTGCCCAGGCTGGAGTACAGTGGCACCATCTCAGCTCACTGCAACCTCTGTCTCCTGGTTTCAAGTGATTCTCCTGCTCAGCCTCTTGAATAGCTGGGATTACAGGCACCTGCCACCACATCTGGCTAATTTTTGTCTTTTTAGTAGAGACAGGGTTTCACCATGTTGGTCAGGCTGGTCTCCTGACCTCAGCTGATCCACCCACCTCAGTCTCCCAAGGTGTTGGGATTATAGGTGTGAGCCACTGCGCCTGGCCTATAACCTGCATTTTTAGTGAACAGTGTCTTTCCACATATATAAATTTCTGATCTCTTCGAATATCCAGTACATATTCAAATTGCCCTAATTGTTCCAGAAGGATCTTTTAGAGCTTGTCCAAACCAATATTAAATCTAGTACCTGTGCATCAGGGGTTCATGTCCCTTTTATTTTAGCACAGTCCCTTTTAAATGACCTGGAGAGACCAAGCCAGTAGTCCTGCAGAATATTCCACCTGGATTTTTCTGGCTGTTCATGATGTCTTATGACGGGTTCCATGATCTCCTTGTATTCTCTGAGCAATGGAAGTTAGATCTGATGGCTCGATGGATTCAAGCTCAACATGGGGCTAGAGCACATTACAGGTAGTGCTGCAGTTTACACCCAGAGAGATGTAACATCCCGTTAATTCCCAGTCATTAATGATGCCAGCGTGACCCTCTCATTAGGGGAATGGCAGATGGATTTTTCCATTGTTCAGTTGACATTTTCCCCTTTATGACCAAAAGGCCATCTCGATGGTTTACTTAGGTGCCATGCACATGTCTAGATTCTTTTGTAGGAAAACTGTTCCTTCCACCAGGGTCACTGGTTTCACTGAAATAATCTCCCACGGGAAAGGTTTATTACATTCCCTAATTACCCATTTTCAAAATAAGGAGATGGTTTAAGAGCCACTTCAGAGGGTGACAATGGCTCTTTTTCCTAATAGTTCTGTGTATTTCTAGTCTGCTGCCCGTCCAGGCATGGAGACCATTCCTGGGTGTGATAGGTTATATGACCAACGTCTCCACTCCCCAGGGTGTTCTGAATGCGCCTCTGAGCTGTATTAGAAAGTGCACTAGTTCAGAAAAGGGGGTCTCTCCAGACCCCAGCAGAGGGGAGCCTCATGTCCCCTCCCCTGGGTGCAGCTTGACTTGGAAGCAAGAGTAAATGAACACGTTCTAAAGGAGCAGTGGACTAGGAGTGTGGAGTCCCGCCACTAAACCAGCCCTGGGAGTGCCCAGATGCTCATTATATGGTCAAGAACAACTAAGTGGGTGAGACAGATAGGACCCAGGCTGCTGGGGAAGAAGGTAGGCTCCAAGGTTTGGAGGAGACGGAGGTGATGGGTTGGCTGTGAGGGGAGAGGGTGTGCCTAGGGCCTTGCTCCAGATGTGACCTCGCTCCTATCTCCTGTCTCTATCCCAAGCAGCTCTATGTGGCCACCGTGCTGCAAGAACCTGAGCTGAACCTGACCCCAGCCTCCTCCCCAGCCAGGCACACCTATGGCACCATGAATAACCAGCCGGAAGAGGGAGAAGAAGAGAGTGGTCTGAGGGGCTTTGCGGGGGAGCTAGACTCGGCCCAGTTCCAGGAAGGGCTGGAACTGGAGGGCCAGAACCAGTACCACTGACTGGGACCTGAGGCCTCCACTGGCGACATGTTGAGGGGCCAGGGGAGGGCCTGGCAGGGGGAGGCAGGAGGGTGGCCTGGACGTCCCCACTACCTCCTGCAGACTTTAAGAAGCCCCCAGTGGAGACATCTGTCACCCCAGCCTTGGGCCACACAGAGGGGGCCCGACCTGCTGCCCAGCTGGAACTGGGAGTGCTCAGCAGTGCTGAGGGAGCCTGGAAAGGGATGGAGGATACAGGCAAGCCCATGTCTTGAGAGAGGTGGCCGGAGCCCCAGCACAGAGACGGAATGCTGGGGTCCCTTCCTGGGGCCAAGATGGAGATGGCGTGCCTAAGGGAGGAGGCAGAAAGAGGCCGCAAAGGCTCTCTGGGGTCATCACCACTCTGCATCAGCTGCCCTTCTAAGGAGCTCCTGCTGCTGCTCCTCGCCCAGCCCCGGCCCATTCCTCCCCTGCAGTCTGAGGAGGCAAAAGTACATGCATGGGGCACATTAACAGGACACGGAAGACCACCTCATCACGGGGCTCCCTGCACAGGCAGCTGTAAAGAGTTTCTGCACCCTCCTGAGCAAGAGGCAATGAAAAGCATAGACCTGAGAAGAGGTAACTTCACCCTTTCCTGCTCCTCTGCCCTCTTCGATGTCCCCAGGAGCAGCAGGGCAGAGGTGCTTCTCCTTTCTGTTCATACAAGGGTAGCTAGAGCGTGATCACCTGGAGCTTATCAAAGGAGACCTGCGTGCATTTTTCAGAAGGAAACCTTGGCTAGTCCTTGCTGGGTAACACAGGGTGGAGTGAGATAGAGGTTGAATTCATGGAAGGGGGTCTTCTCCCCTAAACTCTGGGTGGTGGGAAACCAGCTAAAACTCCCCAAGCCCCAGGGTCTAAAGAGAAGACCCTCAAAGCCAAAGATGTGGCCACTAAAAGAGTCTCCTGCCTCCTACCCAGCCGAGTGCCTGGGCCCCCAGCTTGGCTAAGATGGGCAGTACTTTAGGGTTAGAAGCCCATGCTTCAAACTGAGGGACTGACCATCACTTCCTCCCTTCTTTGGGCTGCCCCTGCACCCTGCCCTGAAGACCACCCAAGCGGCTCCAATGTGGCCCTGGTTCAGACACTGCAGATGCTTCAATCATGCTGTCACCCCAGGACTGCCGGGGTTGGGGTGGAGGGAGGGCCACGTACTCCAGGAGAAGCCCTTTCTGGAGAAGCCAGGCTGCCCTCCCAGGACTGCCAGCACCTGAGACCTGGGGGAGCTGAATTCTGAACAGTGCTGGTGACACTCAGAACTTTGCCATTGCCGGGGAGAACCGGCCTCTGCCTCTGGGATGGGCTGTCATCAGGACCACCACGCAGCCCAGCCAGGGAGGACATGAGAAGGGCCAGTGAGGGCCTCAGTGAACCAGAACAAGCCAAGCTGAATGGAGTCTGTGTGCTCCAGGGCCCTCTTCAGCCTCCTCCCAAGGTCTGGGTCCCTGCCACCAACCTGCTGAAGGTTGGCCTCAGGCTTATCTCACTTGAGCGCCACCACCAGGCCCAGGCACATGGCTGCCCTGAACTCAGACCACCTAGCCCTGTTCCTACCCCACCTTTGCCCCACCCCAGCCCCAGAAGCTCGAAGCTTCACCACAGGTGAGAAACCGTGCTCAATGGGCAGAAACTGCTATACCCCCAGGACACGGCCCACATTTTGGCATGGGGGAATCTTAGAGCTTGGGTCTGCTGGGGAGAGGCTGTCTTGCCCATTCCTTGTCCACCTAGGAATAAGGGGGAAATGCTACCTAGCCTGGCCCCTACACACCCAGGCCCCACAGGACCCCTTCCCCCTGGAATTTCACCAAACAACAAGAAGAAAGGACATTCCCAGCAGAGTGGTCAGGCCCAGAAGGAGCTTGGCACGCAGTGGGGAGGTGGCGGTCCCACCAGAAGCTGGCCTGGGGCCTCTCCTTCACTGGGTACAGCTTTCTGGCACCTGCCTCCAGTCCCTGCAGCCCCTGCCGCACTGTGGAAGCCACATATGGAAAAGGTCCTGGCAGACAGTGTGGCAGGATGGCCGGGGGCTTCTCCCTCTGAACCTGGGTCCCTTGCACCTTGGCTCTGAGAGGTGGTGAGAATGTGGGGAGGGTTCCAGAGTCCACTCTTAGGGGAACCAGCAAAGCCCCATGGCAATTGGCTCCATCCGGACCTCCCACGGTCACTGCAGGGCGGTGGGGGGGACATCTTTTAGCCTCCCCCTGACCACATGCAGACCCTCTCAGGCATCTCCTTCCTCTCCCACACCCACCTTGCCCATTGCCCCCCCCACCTATGGCCATCCCATTCCTCCACTAGCCACTTCCCAGCTGCCCCACCCCACTCCATCCACCAAATCATGCCCCCACACTTAATCTTTTAGAAGGAGCTGCCACCCAGGAACCGGTACTGCCTAGAGCCTCCAGGAGGGGCCCCAGTGGCCCCGCACCCGCCTGCCTGACCCTCCGCTGCCCCTGGAAGCAAAGTGCCTGTCAGCAGCGTTGCGTCCTCTGGGGCCCCCGGTGGGGGGTGTGGGCTAACCTTGGCCGCCACCACTAAAGGAATGTGCCAGAATGCTGAATCTTCTTGTTAATGCTATGACTGTGCCTTGAATAAACGAGTCCTCCCAATCTCTACTGGCCCCTGTCTCTGCCTCTGCCTCTGGGCCAGTGTGGTCTTGCTCTGCTGTGCAGGCGGAGAGAACTTTCTGGTCCTTGAGCTACCGGGAAGCCAGCAGGGCAGCCCCGAGGAGCCGCAGAAGTCCCTGGTGAGTGCTGAGCTCCATGAACAGGCCACTGGGCTAGGCTAGTGGCCAAACTTCAAAACACACAGATTTGGCCGGGCATGGTGGCTCACACCTGTAATCCAAGCACTTTGGAGGCCAAGGCAGGCAGATCACCTGAGGTCGGAAGTTCAAGACCAGCCTGACCAACGTGGTGAAACCCTGTCTTTATTAAAAAAAAAAAAAAAAAAAACATTTTAGGTGAGACCCCAGAAGGAGCAGCAGACAGGGCCCAGGTCTTCAAGGGGATGCAGTGGGGGGCTTGGGGATAGGGAAGGCGGAGGCTAGATTGGCACCAAGAAAGTTGTGGGGCAGCCAGGTGGGATAAGAAACACCCTTTAGCAGCGGGACGTAGTGGCTCACAACTGTAATCCCAGCACTCTGGGAGGCTGAGGCGGGCAGATCACCTGAGGTGGGGAGTTCAAGACCATCCTGACCAACATGAAGAAACCCCATCTCTACTAAAAATACAAAAAATTAGCTGGTATGGTGGCGCGTGCCTGTAATTCCAGCTACTCAGGAGGCTGAAGCAGGAGAATCGCTTGAACCGGGAGGCGGAGGTTGTGGTGAGCCAAGATCGTGTCACTGCACTCCAGCCTGGGCCACAAGAGCAAGACTCCATGCCCACTCAACGCGGCTTCCCCTCCCCCACATCCATGGCTGGCTTTCTAGCCCACCAGCCTGTGGGCTCCAAGCCCCTGACCAATGACCTGCTTCAAACCATGGATTCGTGTAGGTCTGGGTTTAACTAACCCCAAAATGTGTAATGGCATAAACACAAGAGAGGTTTGTCTCTTCCTTGTAAAATTCAAAATGGGTGATTCTGTTTAATGGGCACCTTCCTCCGAGCAGTGATTCAGTGTCAGGACTCCTTTCAGGGGTGGCTCTGCCATGTTCAACACGTGGCCCTCATGGTCTCTGTGAGGTCTGTATCAAAGCCAGCAGAAAGATGACAGAGCATGGAGGAGCATGCAGGAGTTTTGGGGGACCAGGCCTGGGAGTGGCACACACATCTGCATGGTCCAGCAGCCACAGCCCAGCCACACGCCCCACCTAAATGCAAGGGTGGCTGCTGGACATCCAGCTGTGAGCCCAGGAGGAAGAGGAATGGGGTTTGTGGCCTACCAGCCAGTTTGGGCCACAGACCCCTAGCTCCTTCTCTGCCACTGGCTTCCCAGCACCTCCTCCCAGGCCTCTCCCTCCTATTCCACCCACTCTGGCCTTGGACTCCCTGACTCCATCCTCCTATCCTGCTCTGAGATCCGCTCCACTGCAGCTTCATCCGGCACAGACCAAGACCCAAGAAAAGACCAGGCCGAGGGTCAGAGAGGCACACAGAACGTTTGTTTCTCATGAGTTTATAGACCACAGCACAGAGCAAACGGTTGAAGTGCAGACAGCTGGGGTGAGGGCAGAGGCCTCTGCGGCTGCCTTCTCTTCCCTCCAGCTGCCTGAGTACAGGCACAGAGCGGGCCGTGAATCTGAGGCACTGTGGCCTCCCAGTCGCTGCAGGCTGGGGCAGAAAGGAGGGCCAAGGGAGGTGAGACTCACTCCTGCAGGGCTGGGTTGCTGATGAAGGGCTGGGGGAACTCAGGTCTCTCTGGGATGAAGTCGCCCCTCCTTCCTGGCCGGTCCCCAGCCCCACCCCACCTGGCCTGCTAGCTGGGTTCCCACAGCTGCAGAAGAGTCCAGGAGCTCCCTCAGAAGTGCTGAATGAGGGGAAGGGAATGCTGCAGAGGGAAACTGACTGTCAGAGTATCTGCACAGCCCTTGGGACTCAAGTGAGCCCCATTGAGACCCAGGCCCCCTTCCCTTCCCTGGTGGTTCTGATTCGGCTCCCACTGCCTGGGATTCCACCAAGAAGGCTAAAGCTGCTCTTTCTCTTTATTTGTGAATAGCAAGCCGTTCTGGGGCAGGAGAGCAGTGGAAGGGCTGGGAAGGCAGGATGGAAGGTGCTGGAAGCTCGGCCATCTCACCCCCACCTTGGCCTGTGCTCCTGAAGACGCAGGACAGACAGAAGAGCCCCATTCCCTCCCAGCCCCATACCTTCCCGGCTCCATCCCACCTCTGCAACCAAAACACTCCTCATGGGGCCAGAGGAGTGCCAAAAAGGTAAAAAGAAAGGCAGGGAAGACACTATTGGGGATGACAGGACACCCAGAAGCCCCTTCCTGGAGGAAAAGCCACTCCTGCAGTTGGGCTCTGAGAGCTGAGACCCAGTCCTGCCCAGTGTCACCTCTCCAGTCTGGCCAAGGGGACAAGGACCAAGATGCACGGAAGCTTGGGAAGCCTGGGCTACAACAGTACAGACCACAGACAGACAGATGGGGGCCGCCGGGCAGGATCACCTCTTACTCGCCGTCCCAGCCTCGACTCATGGCCTGCACCACCGCCCCGTAGAGCTGGCTCCAGGCAGCCCGAGTGGCTGGTGTGAAGGCAGGACCTAGACACTTCTCCAGCATGTAGAGCAGAGACTCGCCCACTGTCTGCAGAGGCAAGGGGCACCATGTCACTTCCAAAGGCAGGAAGGCACTGCTCCATTCCACAGGCGAGAAAACCCAGGCCTAGTGCTGATTAAGGCTCCTGGGCCTTTTTCTCTCCTGCACAGAGTCCATGCTTCCTGAGCAGGGTCCTGCCCAAATCCCTGGGTATCACATTGTACCCACCTTTCCCTCTAAATGTGAGGCTCTATATCCTTACATTTTTCTTTTCTTTTCTTTTTTGAGACATAGTCTCGCTCTGTCGCCAGGCTGGAGTGCAATGGCGCAATCTTGGTTCACTGCAACCTCTGCCTCCCGGGTTCAAGCAATTCTCCTGCTTCAGCCTCCTGAGTAGCTGAGACTACAGACGCGCACCACCACATCCAGCTAATTTTTGTATTTTTAGTAGAGATGGGGTTTCACCATGTTGGCCAAGTTGGTCTCGATCTCTTGACCTCATGATCTGTCTTCCTCAGCCTCTCAAAGTGTTGGGATTACAGGCGTGAGCTGCCAGCCTGGCCGCCTATCCTCACATTTTTCATCCCACTCTTAGTCTTGCAACCACCCCATGAGTGGGGCCAGGGCATTGCCTGGGACCTCCCAGTTTAGACCAAACCGAGTCATTGTCCCCAGACTTCAGTTTCCTCATCTGCAAGGTAGCAATGATGGGGCTAAAAGCCTGGGCTCTGGAGCCAGATACACCTGAGTTCAGATTCTGACTCCACCCTTCATCAACTGGGTGACCTTCAGTAAGTTATGTAAACTCTCCGAGCCTCAGCCGTTTCATCAGTGATACAGGGAAAGTAGAAGCTCCAACTCCTAGACCTGCTGGGATGATTAAATGGGATAATCCAGAAAAAGCTCTTAGCACAGCATCTGTATACAGGAAACCTACAATGATAATAGGCCAGGTGCAGTGGCTCACACCTATAATCCCAGCACTTTAGGAGGCTGAGGTGGGCAGACCACTTGAGCTCAGGAATTTGAGACCAGCCTGGGAAACATGGCAAAACCCCATCTCTACCAAAAATACAAAAATTAGCTGGGCATGGTGGTGCCTGCCTGTGGTCCCAGCTATAAGGAAGGCTGAGGTGGGAGAACCACTTGAGCCTGGGAGGCTGAGGCTTCGGTGAGCTGTAATCATATCACTGAACTCCAGCCTCGGCGACAGAGCAAGACTGTGTTCCCAAAATAAATAAATAACTAAATAAAAGATAATGGCTCTCATTTGCTATTATTACTCATAATAAAATAAGGTTTATTTATCTCACAAATATTAACTGAATATCAACTGTTGATCAGGCATTGTGCTAGTCCTGGGGATGGAGAGGAGGACATGACCAACACAGCTCCTTCCTCAAGGTGCTCACCATCTGGCAAGGTGACTGGATTGTGTGGCAGACTGTCATATCAGTGGCCCCCAGGATTCATGCCCTGAGTAGGGTCCTCCCACACTGACACTGGGCTTATCCATGTGAATGGCTTTGGACAATGGGACATTAGCAAGAGTGATGAAAGCAGAGGCTCTACAGACCCTTGCACACTGGAGTTTGTCCTCTAAAAACTGCCTCTCAGAACTCAGCTGCCATTCCATAAAGAAGCTCAGCTAGACTAGTGAATGACAACAGGGAGAGAGCTCAAAGGCTGACAGGCCTTGGACATTCTAGCCTCAGTTGAGCTCCCAGCTAAACACAACACACAGGTAATTCCAGCTACACCATGCAGAACAGAAGAGCTGCCCAGCTGAGCCCAGCCATGAGAAACTGGAAAGCATTGTCATAGTTCTAGGTTGTTTGAAAATAGAAAATTGAGCAGACCAGCTAATCTCAAAGGCTCCTTAACTTTTACAGTTTTAAAAGAAGCCATATCAGACAAGAAAACTTGGAAGCTCGGAGAGGTCAAGCGCATGTCGAGGCCACACAGCAGGACAGATGCAGCTCTGGTTATCTAAGGATATGGGAATGGAAGAGAGATAATGGGTGGCTAGGGGAGATCTGGGAGAGAGAAGTGGCCCCAGGTCAGGAGCTCTGGAGAGAGGCAGAGCTCCTTTACCCACCGAGAAGGAGCTGAGCTTCACACCCACTGTCCGGTGCTTCCTGCCCAGGCTGACAAGGTACTCCTCCAGTGAGGACAGGTCTTCCACATTGGTCACTGCAGCATCAATCACGAGCATCACCTGCCAAGGACAAGGCAGCAGTGAAACAGAGAGACTAGAGCAGCCCCAACTGCTCACAATCACAGCCCAAGGCCTGAGGGTCCCAAAGCAAGAGAGGCCAGCAGGACCCTCAGTTCTCCAAGATCAGGGGTCAAAGGCAGCCTGTGTCTACTGCATACAGGGGGCACGCAATATGTGACGGCCAAACTCCTAATGTTACACCCATGAAGGAAGCCTGTCTCCTCTGAGGAACTCATATCTCTAAACATGCCTACTGGGGAGTGTTGTCTGCCTGGGACAAGGAGAAACTGAGGCCCTTTGAGAATCATGAGACTCCAAAAAAGAAAAAAGAAGAAGAAAAATATGGCCGGGGCAGTGGCGCACGCCTGTAATCCCAGCACTTTGGGAGGCAAGGCAGGCATATCACAAGGTCAGGAGTTCAAGACCAGCCTTGCCAACATGGTAAAACCCCATCTCTACTAAAGATAAAAAAATTAGCCAAGCATGGTGGCACACGCATGTAATCCCAGCTACTCGGGAGGCTGAACCACTTGAACCCGGTTGACAGAGGTTGCAGTGAGCTGAGATCACGCCATTGCACTCCAGCCTGGGTGATAGGGTGAGACTCCATCTCAAAAAAGAAAGAAAGAAAGAGAATCATGAGACTCTAAGAAAATCCCAGCCTGGTTTTCATAGGCAGATGGCTCCCAATGGCCAGGATCTGTGCTAACACAACCTATGGGAGCCTGTCATTACCGAGGCTGGGACCAGCTCTCTGAGCACAGGGTAGGAGAAGAGGCTGATTCTGATGTCCCAGACCAATCCAGCCCAGAGGGAAAGGAGCAGATACCCTGCTCCGGGGAACAGGAGGGGAGTAAGACTGGGCCTGGGGCAGAAAGTTAGCTTCCCCATTCTCCACCAGGGAGGGGCTCTGCTGGATCCCAGAGGCCCCTGCAGCTCCACCCACCCTCACCTTCCTGATGTGGTCCAGGAACTCAGGCGAGGAGAGACAGTCTTCTGGACTGGAGAACTGGCGGTAGTTGTACTGGAAGAGGGGTAGCAGATCAGGCTCCAGTGCAAACAGCCTGTGGGTGTGAGGTCCAGGTGTTAGCCCTGGGTGTGAGCCCCTGCAAGCCCCAGCAAGCCCTGGGGCGGGGTGCCAAGCCGGGTCTCAGCTGCAAACTACAGCCGACTCTCGAACCTGGCACTGCTCCCTGGCCAGCTTTGGCTGTGCCCTCCTCATCAAGCCTTCCACTGGCCATGGGCAGCATCCTAGAAAGAGCAATGTGTCCCAGGGCCTCTTACAACACCTGGCACGCAGGAGCCCCTCAGTGAACTGCTGAGGGATGTGATTTGGGACAAGAAGAGGTCCCCAAACAGGAAACCTGGCGTTACATTGTGCAGAGAGAAAAGCCCTTCTCTCTCCTGCGCTGAGTACTTTCCCTGTGGTTAACTTGTAACTGTAGTTCTCACAGTCCTTAGCAGTGGGTACAAGTGTTATCCCAATTTTATGGAGCAGAAAACAGAAGCCCAGGGAGGCTAGAACTTCCCTATGGTCACACAGCTTGGATGTAGCGGAGCTACAGCAGGTGCTTGAAAAAAAAGTGGGCTGGGGGGAGTCCGGAGGCAGAAGCAGAGGCTCTCCTTGGCATTTGGGAGGGATCTCTGGGTAACTGAATTTTTTCCTCTTTTATCTTGGGGGTGGTTTTGCGGAAGCCTGGGCAGAAGTTCTGGACTGCGTGAGGGTGCCAAGGATTGGGAACACCACGGTGAGGGAAGCGGTGCCCCGTTGGTGATGACAGAGGGGTTACCGAGACAGCTAGCTGGGGTTGGAGACTGGCCTCCCCTTCCCCCAGGCCCTGCGCACCCCGCACCCCTCTCCCCTGCCCTGAGGTTCCTGCATCTGTCACCCCTTCCCCGGCGGCTCTCTGAACCTTTCCCGGAAAGGTTTGTCCTGTTGGTTGTCAGGAATCCACACACCTGGAGCCGGACCCCGCGCACTCACACGCGGGCACAGGAGCTCGCCCCGCACACCTCCCCTCCCCGGCCCTCGGGGTACCCCACTGCCCTGGTACCGGCAGCGGGGGCACCCCCGCAGTCGTCACGCAAGTAACCGCAAGGAACACGCAGGAGGCACTAGGCGGGATGGAGGCGCAGCGCCTGGACGGAGGTCCACCCGCCCGGATGTGGGGAGATCCGCGGGAGGGGACCCCGCCCGACCCGGTGAGCCCCGTTGGGAGCAGTGTGCTGCGCTGGTTCGCAAGAGGCGCCCAAGGCAGGGAGAGAGGCAGAGGGGCAGTGCCAGCCGTCGCCGCGCCCCGCTCCTCTGGCGCACATCTGGCAGGCGCCCCAGCGCCCCGGCAGCGGCCAGATTTCCCTCCTCCGGGGCCGGTGCTGCCGCGTGACCCCTTTCCCGCCGAGGCAGCCTCCACCCGCACCCCTGGGGCGCTCGGGCCGCCCTCACCTGGCGAACAGGACTGTGCCGTGCTCCAGAGGGCTGAGGCTCACAGCCCGCCAGCTCTGCCGGATCAGCTCGGGCTCCGGGCGCTCCATGCTGTCCCGGGGACGCGAGGCGCGGGGCTGGGACCCTCTGGGCGCGGGCGCCGTCACCGCACGTGCCGCGCCATCTCCTCACGACGCGGACCCCTCCGTCCCCGGTATGCCCCCCGTGCCTCCGCCCGGTGGGGGCCGTAGCCGCTTCTTCCCTGGCGCGGGAGAGAAGAGGCGCGCGGCCGGCCGTAGGCGGAGGCGCCCCAGCTGTGCTTCCGGGGACCCCGCTCGGACCCTGCGCCCTGCGCCCCGCGCCCCGCGCCCCGCAGTCGGGAGAGCAGCCCCGCCCCGCGCCGCCCGGACTGGGCGCTTTAAAGCCACTGCGGCCCCCGCCCTCTCCAGGCCAGCGAGCGAGCGCGCGCTCCCTCCTCCAGCGACGACCTGGTGGCCCGGGAAAGGCCTGGCCTGCAGAACGTAACTGACGTAGCCGAGGCTCTCCGGGCCTCAGTTTCTCCTCCCGAGCCCCGAGGCCACTGTGTTGAATTGGTGGCCTCAGGTAGGCCCTGCATGCGCCCTCTCTTCACAGACCCCTCCACTCCAGCATTGCCGGAGGCATTTGAGCTTGCCACCTACCTGGCCCGCAGTCTCCTTCCTTCTGCAGGTCAGGCCTGGGAAGGCGGCCTGGGGCGTCTAGCTCTGGGTCTAACTAGGGCACCTGCACACGTTGGGGACCACCAGGGCTTTCAGCCCTAGGGACAGGGCCAAGACCACAGCCTTTTCCAGCCAGGCCTGGGTTTTTTTGAGACTCATCTTTAGAAATCCATGAACTCCAGTTCTAATCCCAGCTCTCCTTGGCCAGGATGGAAACTTATCCCAGCTCCACTTGGCCAGGGTGGAATCTTATCCCAGCTCCGCTTGGCCAGGATGAAATCTTGAGGGGGTTCAGCTCTAAGATTCTCCCATTCCATGATTTAATTTTTATTTGTATTTTTCACCTCTCCCCTCCCGGGGGCCCACCCCACTTCCATGATTTTTAATCTTTTTTTTTTAATGGAAGTACTGTTTAATTTTTTCGATAGAAGTTCAGATGATAGAATCCACGCTCCCCACTCAGGGTGTGCAGTTGGCCACCTGTCAATTAGAACTAAACTTTTCACTTTGAATCAGAAAGTTCCTCAGGCTCCACCCAGTGCTGGTGGCCCAGGTTTGGGAGAGCAAGCCCCTTTCGTCTTCCTTTGTCTCTCATCATTCCCTCAGGAGCCTCCAAGCCTGTCTTCTCTATCAATCCACGATTCTCTGGGCCTGTTTCCTCAGTTGTGCAGCGAGGAGGTTGTGTGGCGCAGTCTCTGGGGCCTTCTAGTCCACCTCCTTTGGTTCCATGGGTACAAGGTGCGTGTGTTCTTGAGCCCCTGGTTCTGAAGAGCTGTGGCTCCATGCCTAGCCCTGTGCTAGACACGGAGTGGTGAGTCCTGGCCTTTAAAATTTCTCCTTCTGGCCCTAAATCAGAACCGAGTGCCTCAGAATTCTTCTTTCCTGCTCCCAGCCATGCCCCTGGAAACCACCTAGTGGTTCTCCCTCTTCCAAGGACTCAGGAGTTTGTGGTGCCTCCTATTCTATTCCCCATTTCCTCACACATCTCTGTGCTGGAGCAGGAGAGCAAGGCTATGAGGCAGCCTGGAAAAGCTGGGATCGTAGGGTCCAAGAGGTCCGCAGGCAGAGCACCAAGGGAGGGGTGCTGCAGGGAGAAGACGTGACTAGACTTCCAACTTGGGGTCTCATGGACCTGCAGCCAGGTTCAGCAGGTCACAGGGCAAGGCCACATGTCACTGGTGACCTTCACTCTTCAGTGCCCAGATGCTCTGTGCAGGCCACTTGGCTGGTGGCCCACTCTACCCAGCTCGTGCTTCTTGCCAGCAGTCTACACTTAGGACCCATCTTGCTTCCTCTCTCCTCTGGCCAGGGTCTGGAGTCTGATGAGGCAGGGGGAGTTAATGGCCATAGCTAGTTAAGTGTAGTCAGCACTCAAACCATGGCTTCACTCTTAGTCTTCCCAGAGCCAGGAGATACACACTAAGATAAGCCAAGCTAAGTGCACTCTATCCCTGCTCCCTTCAAGAACAGCCTGAGAATCTGGATGGGCCTAAGCGACCACAGTGATATATTCCCACCAGTAGACCAAGGGGCTGAGCCCACATTTGAGGGGCTTAGTAAAAGTCACAGGAGCTCTCCTCCAAGTGGGTCATCCAACCAGGGGGCAAGAACCTAGAAGAGAGTTCAAGTACTGTCGCAGAGCCAGTGCTGTCATTGAGGTCTATGTATCATTAATCATAATACAGAGCTGGCATTTATGTCTAGACACTGTTCGGGGCATGTTACTTCATTTCCTCTTTTCTTCCTCACAATAACTCTATGAAGTAGGTGCTATTTATCATACCCTCATTTTACAGCTGAGGAAACAGAGTCAGAGGTTAAGCAACTAGCCCAAATTCACAGTTAATAGTGATGGGGCCAAGATTTGACCTCAGGTCTCTCTGGCCCATCCTGTAGGCCTTCATGTCTCCCTTGCTTTAATGGGCTATGGCCAAGAGCCCTACTCAATAGTTCAGATCAAGCCATGGTCACTGGGTCAGGGTCAGCAGTGTGCTGGAGCCAGCTTTTACACGCCTCTCAAGAACCAGCTGTATGCATCTCTGCAGCTTCTCATTCAGCAACATCAAGTTGGTAGCTTAAAAAAAGAACATGGTGGGAATACACCATGGAAACTGGCAAATGCTATACATACCAGTTTTTCCTCCCAGAGTACCTGTGGTTAAACATCTACCAGCAAACACTGATCTGGGTGCACCTGGGGGAGCCCAGAAAACTAAGGCCTAGAAGAGCAGCTGCTGATGCGTTAAGCAGCAGGTTCACAGAAATGTGCTGTGTCAGGGACCTTGGGCTGAGTGCTCAGGCCTTCTCCCTGGGGTGTCTAGAACTGACAAGCTGTTCTGGGAAGGTGCGTCTAGTCCCAAGACCAGGCTAGACAGTCCTGGCTCTACTATTAACTAATGGTGGGAACTTAAGGCAAGTAATTTAATCTCTCATGGGTAGAATGGGAACAAAACCATCATTGACTTCACTGGGCCTTTATGAGGATTAAATGTCGGAGGTGTGTTGAGACTTTGTAAACTAAGCTGTACCACTCAAGGAAGAGTTATCAGGCCCCTTCCTAACCTGCCTGTGATAGGCATGGTCCATCTCCTGAAGATCCACACGCCCTACTCTCCCCACCAGCCCCACCAGAGGGTGGCTAGGCAGCCCAGAAGACCCCCAGTTCCACAACACAGTGCTACTCCCCTCCCCCACCTCTGTCCAACACTCAGGTCAGCTCCTGCTGCCTTCAGATCCTAACATCACTCCCGCTAACAGGAGACCCCTGTCAAGATGGGGGCCTGGTAGGTAGAATAGCTAGTTGCTACAGTGCTGGGACACTGGGCTGTCTGGGAAGGGGAAAACTTCTTCTTGCACATCTTTCTTTGCCATGTGAGCAGGTTAAAAGAGGACAATCAGAGGTCCAGTTTCCTACTTATTTTGGATCAGTTTAAATGTATCAAAATGGCGATCAACATTACTCAAGTAACTGTATCCCAAACGCCACCTGGAGTAATCAGGTTCACCTGCCCAGCCCAGGGCCTCTGCAGGAATTAGCCCAGCCTCGGACATGACACCAGGGATGGTTCCTGCACTCACAACGTTCTTCTCAGGGAGGCTTTTCTGGGAGCCAGAGAGCAAGTCAGATTCAATTAAGTACAAGGACAACATGGCATTCAAAACAAGTTCTATTTATTATATAAGTCAGTGGCTTCTGATTAGAAGCTTTTTTTTTTTTTTTTTTTTTTTTTTTTAACCAAATGAGACTCAAGAAGCTGGCTGGAGGTTGAACTGGTCGACGAATGTCTCCTTCCTCCACCCGCAGTTTGTGGGACACATTTCTGCCAAGTGCTAAGGCTGACGCCCATATTCAGAGAAGCCCCCTGATAGCCTTTCTCTAGCCATCTTCCAGAAAACAGAACCTGAGTACGTGAAGCTGCATCAACCTGTGTAGTCTTGAGCCCAGAGAGGCATCTGCCAGTCTGGGCATGGAGGAAGAGAAAATGGGCAGAGAATTCTCCTTGGATCCTTAGAAGGCAGCAGGAGCCAGGGAAGCATTCAGCCCCAGTGCAGCCTAATTGGCAGGGAGGGATGGGTAGAGGCTGTCTGGGCGTCTCCTTCCTCACCCTCATTCGGGGTGGCTGCCCCTCTGGCTCCTTCAGAGCTCCTCCCTTCTAAGTTCCTACTGGGAAATAAGGCACAAAGGAAAGTCAGCCACCTCCTGGATGTCACTGTGGGCTGCCTGCTTTGCTAAGAGCCAACCACAGATCCCGGCATTCTACCTGCAGGAGAGCCCGCCCGGCTCAGAAGAAATTCTGCCTGTGGGGAAAAGGGGAAGGGAGGGGAGGGGAGGAGAGGAATCGTGGCAAGGTGGAAGCAGGGAGCAGAGCTTCTCCATCCCTCCTCTCCTTCCCTGCCAGAAATACAATTAAGTAAGCAGCCCAGACGCAGCCACACAGACAGCACTTCCTGCTGGGGGAAGTCAAAAGGGCTGTAACTGTGGGAGAGGGAGGTCATCAGGCCCCAGATCTAATTAACCAACCTGCCTTGCTTTTGACGTTGCTGCATTTCCTCTATTAACATTAATGATGGTTGGTTTGAATGTCTAAGCATGGCCAGAAGCTTCGCTCCCCACCACCCAGTAGGCAGCACAGCCTGTCCCTGGGACCAATATCCAGTCTCCGTGGCAACCGCTTCCCAAAGATGCTTTAAAGAGATCTGACCGTGTCAGAGTTGTTGGGAGCTACAGAGGAGGGAAAATGGAGTGTGGCAGAGATTCATCATTAAGTCTTGAAGCATCAGAGTCCTCTGAGACAAAAGAAGTATTTTGTCATGCCCCAGGAAGGAGGAGGCAGCCTGAAGGGCTGACCTTGGGTGGTTTGGTTCTACCAGTGGGTTTTCTTCATCCCTTTTGGGGAGGAAGTGGAAGGAGCAGCTCTGAGCTTCCTGTTCGAGCTTCAGAGTGGTAGGCGTAGGAAACAGGCATGCATTTCTAGGTGCTACGGGTCTTCATGGCTGAAGCAGTGACAGAGAGAAAGGGAAACACCCACAGAGTGAGGTAGGGGTGAGCAGGGGAAGATAGCAGAAGTGACACTGGGAAAGCTCAGCAGGTGACAAGAACTTTAGTCTGGAGAGGCCAGAGTCCCCACACCCCAGCACCATACAGATTCCCTGCCCTGCCTCTCATCTGCCTTGGACGCTAAGCAAGGTTCCACAGCCTCTCCCAGCAGCCAGGAGAATGCATCTGCCTCGCCCTCCAGG